TTAAGTTTAGCTCATATGATCTTAAAAAAATACATCATGTACATAAACATACACATCTGTCTGTCTACCTATCTACCTATCAATATTATTATTATTATTATTATTATTTTGGCTATCTGGCGAAGTTTAAGCTGAAGATATTTGTTGGCAATCAGGAATTGAAAAAATGTTTTGAGTTTTCTATAAATGAGGATGCTCTATCTTGCAAAAAGAGCAAAATGAACTAAAAAAGGATTAGAAAATGTAGTATGATGATGAAAATTCTTGTGCCTACAGTTATTTCCAGTGAGAAATTTAATGAGGCACAAATGTTTTCAGATTTCAAATTGCTTTTGTTCTACCATTTGCTCATAGAATTTGTATGTAAAGATTAAGATTGAAAGATTAACATCATGGTATCTACCTTGTTATGTACCATACACTATGCCATATAAAGTTTGATTTGATGCTTGCAAAAGCCCTGTGACAGTAGTTATTTCTGTCCCTGTTTTGGAGTAGAAGTCATGCAGATACAGAGAGCTGTGCAGGAGTTTCATTTAAGTGAGTGACAGAGCTGGGCTTCAGACGAGGCCTCCTGACTCTACCCTCTGCTCTTACCCACTGGACATGTGATTTGGCCTCCCACACAGAAAAAACTTGGCAAAAAGTCATATGTGAAAAATATTTTCAACTGGATCTACCTTTATAACATGTACCCAAATCAAATTAGTTGTCACTCCCTCCACCCTACCTTTTGAATCCAAGCTGCTATCTTCCTGCTTGAATGACCACAGTACCTACTGACTTGTCTCCTGTATCTGCTCTTGCCCTGTAGCTTGTTCTCCACACAGCAGCCACAGTGCTCCTTTGACAAGCCTCCGCTGCCTTCACATCACCTTTCAAAAAACATTCAAAGTTTCCCAATGGCCTACAAGCCTCCATGTGAACTGGCCTGATCTTGTCTTCTCCCACTGACCTCCTCACTCTCTACTCTATGGCTACTCTATTGTCCCTAGAACATTCTAAACCAATTCCAGCCTCTGCTCTTGTTCCCCCTTTGCCTGGAACACTCTTTTCCCGGATGAGTGCACTGCTGCACCTCCCATCCCTTCATTGAGGTCTTTTGCTCAAATGTTACTTCCTCTGATTGGTCTTCTTTTACCACTCGTCCAAACTAGCACTTCCTTTAGCCCCATTACCCTGCTCTGCTTTTGCTCATGTCACTATCACCACCTCACAACATCATTCCTAGATGCTGATTTATTTGTTTCATGTCTGTCTCCCCCTCTGTACTGAGAGTCCCTTGACAGCAAGGTGTCTGGTTCACCTCTGTATGTACATCTCCTAGCACAGTGGCATTCAATAAATATTTACTCTATAAATAAATGAATCAAAGGTTAAGTAAAGAAAGAAAACACCTTTGTTATAGTCTGTAGCATAGAAACAAAAACTCTCGTTTCTCATGGTTCAGTTCCTGGCCAGTCCACCCCATGCACAGCCACGACCTGTCTGTCAGTGGAGGCTTGCTTGTTATGATGCTGAACAGGTTTCAGTGGAGCTTCTAGACTAAGACAGACTAGGAAGAAAGGCCTGGCAATCTATTTCTGAAAGTCAGCTAATGGAGACCCTGTGGACGCAATAGTCTGATCCTCAACTAATCATGGGGATGGAGCAGGACTGGGCAGTGTTTAGTTCTGTTGTACGTGGGGTCACCATGAGTTGAGGGCTGACTTGATAGTAACTAACAACAATAGCCATGTACGTACTTATTGCATAATGGTTTTCTTAAGCCATTCTGTCATAAAACAGTGGAGAAGGTTAACTTACATTCTCCTGGGTGTCCAGTGATATGTTGGTTTATAACTTCTTGTGATTCCTAATAACGTGTGTGACTTGCTTTGAAAATTACAAACTATTTGTCAGATGTTAGTGTCATCAGGTGGGGATGTTGACCAATTACTGATACATTAACAGTAAAGAATCAGTACCATGGATTTGCAATTCTTAAAATCACCCAAAGCAGAATTCCCCCTATAGCCCAGCTCAGTCTGCAGACTCTTTAGACTATGATCTGGTTCTTCCCTGCAGAAGAAAACCAGCCAGCCTGTGTACCAGCCTTGGTTGTGGATATGGTCTCATATTTTATTTATTTGACAAACACATACAAATCACTTATTATGTGCTAGGCATTGTTATAAGTGCTTGACAAGTAATAGTTCGTGTGATCCTGAAAACAACGGGTGAAGAAGAAATTATTAGTATCCACATTTAACAGATAAGGAAACTGAGGTGCTGAGAAGTTAAGAGACTTGTCCAAGATCACACATATACTAAGTAGCAGAGCCAGGCCATGAAACTAGGCAATCTGCCGCCACACCCTTTAGCTGTAGAACCCTCTTTCTTCACAGAAAATCTCATGCAGAAAGTCCATGTGTGGAGCAGAGCAAAGCAGGGCGGTTGCGATCGAATGCGAGCTAGCCAAGCCCTGTCTGTGTAGCCCTGTCGTCTCCCCTCTTTGGAGCCCTGTTTGTAAAGCCCTGATCCAGGAAATAACTCCCCTTGGCAAGAGGCCACTTGTAAGCTGTCTTCAATCCATCCTGACCTAAAACAAATAAAATCCTTTTCTCACTTTAATTACCTGATTATGCTTTATTTTGAAAATGTTATCTGCCTAATCTTCTTCCAGATGAAATAAAATACTAAGGTGGATTTTCCCCAGGGTGGTAATGCCATATAACAATGTAGGCTTTACTGGCTTAAGCTCACCTGAGCTTTCTTATACAAAGCAAGGACTGTGGGCATAAAAGTTTTCTGGACAAAAGAGAGAAATGGAATTTAATGTCATAAAGAAAGAGTTGGGTATTAAGATTAGAACCAGCACGTCATGATCTACCTCCTCTGTCATGGGACGCTTGTCTTCTGGGGTTAAGATAAAGTAACAGCAGCAACAGTAGTGACAACTACTGCCCATTGAGTGCCTTTTACAACTGGATATTTTTTAAAAACCTGAAGGGTTGGTTGTTTGAACCTACCAGCTGCTGCTTGGAAGAAAGATGTGGCAGTCTGCTTCTGTAAAGATTAAAAAAAAAAACAAACCCGTTGCCATTGAGTCGATTCCAACTCATAGTGACCGTATAGGACAGAGTAGAACTGCTCCACAGGGTTTCTAAAGAGCAGATGGTGGGTTTGAACTGCCAACCTTTTGGTTAGCAGCCAAACTCTTAACCACTGCGCCAGCCTTGAAATCCCTATGGGGTAGTTCTACTCTGTCCTACAGGGTCGCTATGAGTTGAAATTAACTTGAGGACAAGGGTTTTTTTTTCCCTCATTTTCACAACTTTAGTGTTATTACCCCTATTTTACAGGTATGTAAATTGAGGCTAAAATTTTATGTAACTTGTTTAAGATGGCCGAACCAAATAGCACACCAAGGATTAACAATTCCTGGTATGTATTTTAAAGTCACTTGAGATCCTTATGTGGTGATGGAGGTGAGAAGTATGTTTCGAGAAAAATCAGTGATTAAGGAGCAAAATCTCTTAATATAAAGAATAAAAGGCAGTTTGGAGTATATATTTTGGGATATGTAACGAGGGTCAATAGGATTCTCAAATTACGTAGACTGAGAATTCAGTGGGATTCATTCTAAAGAGTGATTGATTTCTGTGATATAATACCTCTTATTTATTAATGTAGACAATGCATGAAATATTAAAAAGAAAATAGACGATAAATCAATTAAATGGGACTATAAATCAAGTGGGACTGAACAGGACAAAAAGGCGACTCAGGCCAGACTGATTGCTATTTTCCCACTGGTCCCTACTCCCACCCCTCTCCCCCCTGCCACTTTATAGCTCAGGGGTCTGCAAACCTTTTGTGTAAATGGCCAGAGAGTAAATATTTTAGGTTTTACATACCACATACTTTCTTTCTTGCAGCTACTCAGTTCAGCTGTTGTAGCTCAAAAGCAGCCATAGACAATATGTAAACAAAAGGACATGGTTATGGTAGAATAAAACTTCATTTGTGGAGACTGAAATTTGAACTTCATATTGTTTTCACGTGTCACGAAATGTTATTCTTCTTTTGATTATTGTTTCAACCATTCAAAAACGTAAAAACCATTCTTAGCTCGTAGGCTATACAAACAGGCAACAGGCCAGATTTGGCTCACGGGCTAAGGTCGGCAGTTCGTGTCCACCAGCCACTGCTTGGAAACCCTATGGGGCAGTTCTACTCTGTCCTATAGGGTCACTATGAGTCAGAATCAACTTGACAGGAACGGGTTTGGTTTGGTTTTTGGTACCCTAGCTTGGTCACTATTGAGTTGGAATTGACACTACAGAAATGGGTTTGGTTGATCCTAGCATGGAAGGAGCCCTGGTGGTGCAATGGTTAAGTGCTCGGCTGCTAACTGAAAGGTCAGCAGTTCGAACCTACCAGCAGCTCCTCGAGAGAAGAGTCCTGGTGATCTGCTCCTGTAAAGATTACAGCCCGGGAAACCCTATGGGGCATTTCAACTCTGTTACATGGGGTCTCTATGAGTAGAAATGGATTCGACAGCACCCAACAACAACCCTAGCCTGATCACACCCCTCTGGTTTCCAAACATGTTGCTTATTGTCTCTGTGGGTGTTTCTTTTACTTTAAGCATTTCTATGTTGTTTTGGACCAGGAGCTGAATCCAAGAGTAGACTTCAGAGAACTGAGTAACAGAATTCCTTTCACTCGCGTTTTGCAGAAATGCAGCTTGCAGAATTGCCGCTGCCAAATCAACTTTGTACAAAACAAATAGAAGCCATGGTGACCATCTAAGAGGATTTATAACAAAATGGAAAATTTCTTGGCGTGCTCTGTCGTTTTTATTCAAGATTAAAGGAAATGCAGGGCTTTGTGGTATCCCCAGAAGCTATCTTGTTTCAAAGTGGTGCCAACAAATATGGAAGTTCTTTGTGTGTTTAAACAGTATAGGTCCTTACTAAATTTTATATATTTTTGTTGTTGCTCTTTCTCTCTAGGGAGGTGAGCCTTGATGTGATGGAAATAGCCCTGAACTTGGTGTCAAAAAGACCAAGGTTTGCGTTGAATCTTGGTTAGTTTTATTGTGATCTTGGGTAAGTTAACATCAGCAATGACAGTTTTGACTTCCTTATCAATAAAATGGGGTTAATAATCCTACCTCACAGGGACATTTATTCATTTTATTTATTTATTTATTCATAGTTCTTTACTATTTATTATGGAAAGTTTCAAACAAAAAGAAAAGAGAGTAATATAATGAACCCCCGGGCCCATCAACCTGCTTCAATAATTATCCATTTTGCCAAACTCTTTCATCTTTATCCCCACTCCATTTTTCCTCCCTACCAGAGTATTTTAAAGCAAATCCAAATGTAGTATAATTTCACCTTCAAATATTTCAGTATGTATCACTAACAGATAAGATCTTTATAAAACAGTACCATAATTCCATTACCACATGTAGAACTGCCCCATAGGTTTCCAAAGATGAGCTGATGGATTCGAACTGCTGACCTTTTGGTTAGCAGCCAAGCTCTTAACCTCTATGCCACCAGGGTTCCAACAAAAGTGCAGTAATTCTTTAATAACATCTAATATCTAGGCAGTGTTCAGATTTCCCCAGTTGTCCCCAAAATGCCTTTATGTAGTTGGTTTGTTTGAATCAGGAACCAATCAAGATTCAGATATTGCATTTGGTCATGTGTTTCTCAAATCTCTTACCAAACAACAACAACAACAAAAAAAATCCATTGCCATCGAGTTGATTCTGACTCATCGTGAACCTACAGGACACAGTAGAACTACCCCATAGGGTTTTCTAGGCTATAATATTTACTGAAGCAGACTGCCACATCTTTTTCTGGTGGAGCAGCTGGTAGGTTCAAACCCTCGACCTTTCGGTTATCAGCTGAGCGTTTGACTACCGCACCACCACGCCTCCTTCTTAAGTCTCTTAATGCGTAGCACTTCCCGCTCTTGCCTCTTCGTCTTTCTTCATACAGTTAATTTGTGGAAGAAACTAGGTGTTTGTCCTGTAGAATTTTGCATATTCTGGATTTGGCTGATTACGGTCTTTACCCTTGTAGAGTCATTGAACGTCTTCTTTTCTTTCTCATATTTGCTATAATTAGATATAGAGCCTTGATTAGATTCAGGTTCATTTTTTTTGGAAGCATATTTCATAGGTGGTGCTTTATATTTCTTATTGTATTACATTTAAAGGACATAATGTCTGGTTGTCTCTGTATGTTAAGATCGATTAGAGGGATCTTTCAGGTTAATGTAGTCCTCATTAACTTTCACCTAATGTTTTATCATTAGTTCATGGTTCTTGGTTAAGTATATTACCTCATAAGGGGTTGCAAAATGTAGGTTTTCTATCAATTCTTCTAAATTTATTAATTGAATTTTTATAGAAAACTTACCCTCATCAACAATTTGGTTGCCATAAAATACATTTCATGCAATAAAGCCATGCTGAGTATTTGTTTATTCCTTTTATTTGCCAGTTTTGTAATAATCGTGACTTCTCCCAGTGAGTTGGTGCCTTTTCGACTTCTAAAGGTGAACAACGAGGGTGGTGGTTGGTGGTGTTGGTGATGGTGGTATTTCTCCTGCATCATAAATTTCAAGGATTTAAATTTTTTCATGTGTCAATTCATCACATTCTTCTTCAGGTTGGCTTCTGTGTCTTATTGCAGTAAGATTTGATTACTTTCTTGCTTTTTGATATGACAGGATATCCCAGGCTTACCTTGTACATTTCTTGCCCTAGACCTGAATCAGCCAATTTTCCTAGAAGTCCTAGTTTCTTTTTAGTAGGAAATGGTATTATAGAGACCACAGTCTGGATGCTAAGAGTTCAAATTACTACTGGCTTGTTATTATTTCTAGATTTTTCTAGTAGATTAAAAAACTTGTTGCTGTCAAGTCAATTCCAACTCATAGTGACCCTATTGGACAGGGTAGAACTGCCCCATAGGGTTTCCAAGGAGTGCCTAGTGGATTTGAACTGCTGACTTTTTGGTTAGCAGCTGTAGTTCTGAACCACTACACCACCAGGGTTTCTAGTGGATAGAGCTAGAATATACATTTTTTAAAGGAAAAAAATCATTATTTTATGATGGTAATTCCAGTGTAGATGTAGAGCTTTTACCTAGCATCTTTGGTTCTATATTTGCATTTTTTTTATGCTGAAAATCTTGTTTCCTAATGATGTTAACATAATTACATTATCCTCACACACACACACACACACACACACACACACACACACACACACACACACAATAGTTTCAAAATAGCAATATCAATATTTCCACTAATATAGTTATTAAATATAGTTTGACTTTTTTTTTCAACTCTTTTTATTCTTAGGATAGCACACATCAGGGATAAACAGTCCCTAGTATGAATTTTAAAGTTGTTTTTAAGATATTTTAAGATAATTTTTAAGTTGTTTTTAAGATATTTTAAAGATAATTTATGTGGTTTTGGCAACAACTTCACATACAGTTAGGTTCATTTGTTTCTTTTTTTATTTTAGAAGATTTTTTTTTCTTATTGTTTTATAATTAGGTAAAATATTTACATGGCCCCAGTCAAAACTATAAAACACAAAATTTCCTCTTCCTTTGGTATTTCCCTCCTTCTTATATGAAATATGATACTCTGTATTATTTTCTGCACCATGCTTTTCACTGAGTAACATGTCCTAGAGATGACTCCACGGAAGTAGAGAGTTTATTCAGTCAGTCCTCTTTTTGTGAGTATTTAGGTTTTCTTTCCAGCCTTTCCTACTACAAATATTTCTTTAATAAATAGCCTTTACAGGCTATTTGTGAATTAAAGAAAATGAAGTATATTAAAGGGCTGTGTAAAGTATAAAGCAAAGTACATATATGTATGTGTGTGTGTAATTTTGTTAGATTGTTTTCTTCCACAGCCATTTATTAAGCACTTTAGTGTCCCAAGTAGTAGAGATACAAAGATGACTAAGACATGATCCCTGCCCTTGAGGTTTTACAGTCTAATATGAGGTGAAATAAAAAAGAGAAATTTCACATTTTCCTTTTAAGTTTATTTCATTTTAAAAATTTTATTCACTGATTCAGATGGTGTTACTTTTATATTCCTGGATTTATATATAGCTGCAGAAGTCAATGATTTACAGTCTTTTCTACTATATTGATCACAGTGGTAATACAGAACTTCTTTCAGTTTATGAATCATGTAATCAGATAATCAAAGAAGTCAGTGTTGCTTAACTGATTTATGTTTTCCTAAAGCCAGAATTCGACTACTCCACAATGACAACAGTAACAGTGACCACAGAAGTTTCTTCAAAGGGCAGGAAAGAAGATAATTCTGCCTCGTATGAGTCAACGTCGGCTCACATTATTGAAGAGACAGAATATGTGAAAAAGGTACGTGGATGCTAGAAATCATGTAGCATGATATGACTTTTAAGAACAAATTCTAATATGGATTGGTGGACTTTGTTTCCATCTTTAATAGCACGTGTGAGGAAGAACAAACTTCCTTTGACAAAGGATGGTCTTTATAGCTGAAATTGAGATACAAATTTGGTAAATTCTCTTGGGATACATGTTTAGTAATTTCTCTTGAGGACTTCTGTTCCTACACCTGGAATAAAATGATGCTCTTCACTCAGTAAAATTGAATCCTGGGGCCAGGAGGGTTCAGAACACCTATCAGCACTTAATTTGTGCCACACTATTCACCACTGGATTTCCTGCTGTTTTATGTCCTTTCCTGGTTGTTTCATGAGCATTGATACTGTGTTCCCAAGTAGATGTTTACACTTCCTGCTGCATTTGTGTCTCTTGTTACGTTGTTCCTTTTCACAGTTCAGGGTAGGTACTGCCAATGAATACATGTGACAGGTTGCTTGATTAAAAAATGCGAAATCTTATGAGAATCCAAGATGATAATGGCTGACAATGGTATATATTCTTTTAATTGTTTCTTAGAACAGATGGAAAAATTCTGACATGAGTAGTTGGTAACTTGTTCAGATGAATTAATTAATTCATCTTTGAGTGTCTCAGTTCCATAGCTCACCAAGACATGGAGCCTATATTTTATACATAAATTTGTATTGTCTCCTTGTAGTAATTATTCTGTAGTAATTACTAGATAGTAATTATTTTTTAGTAATTATTAGGTAGTAATTCTTTTATACCAATTACTAAATAGTAAATAAGTACTAAATTACTATACAGAAAAAATAGAACTAAATAGTATTATATAGTAATTACTAAGCAGTAATTATTTTATAGTATATTTGTAGTATAATATTATCATATTTTATGTTTGACTGAGAAAAAGTTATAAAGATCAAATGCTTGTTATTTTGCAATGTAGACAATATTAGCCTAAATGGAAGTTAGACTGATGGCAATTACCAGATAAATCAGGTAGCAGTTACTATAGGGAAAAAAGCTTTTGACATTACATTCCTTTGAAAAAAAATTTCTTTTTCTTCCAGATTCGAACTACTCTGGAAAAGGTCCGAAATCAACTGTTTAAAGATGAAATAGGACGTAACAATACAAATAACATACTAGATGCAAAGGTAATGAATTCATCAAGCTTTACTACTTTTATTCCTTCAGAAAGAAACTTAAAACTGTATAGACTTTATTTAACTTCTCTTCTTTTTTTTTGGTGACTATCAAGTTATTCTTTAAAATTTTAGCTGATGATGGCTGGATGTGTGAAATGTTTAACCACAGATCTCATCAGTAGGATCAGATTGGAATGACCAGACCACACTTGAGTATTTTAAACAGGGTTTACTTATCTAAGGAGTCTCTGTGTTGTGCAAATGGTTAATGTGCATGGCTACTAACCATTAGCATGGAGGTTTGAGTCTACCCAGAAGCACCTCAGAAAAAAACAAAACAAACAGCTAACTAAATAAATAAAACATGGTGATCTACTTCCAAAAAATCAGCTGTTGAAAACTCTATGGAGCACAGCTCTACTCTGACACAAATGGGATCATCATGAGTTGGAGGCAACTTGACAATAACTGGTTTACTTATCTGAAGTATATGGGAAGATGTTGGCCCAGCCAGGATGCATGGCATCAACATCTTTCAATGACAGACAGAAATATAGTCTTTTAGGCTCAGCTGGGCCACACCAGTGGGTACACAGTTGAAGCTGTTAGGTCTTAATAAGTGAGGACCTTGTCAGTCAATAAGCTTAAATGTACCACTCTCCACCCCTACCCCAAGGCCGGCCTTATATGCTTATGGATGAGCAATCTGTGCGTGGCTTTCTCTGGATCATGCCAGGCTAAACCTTCTCTGAGCCAAGTGCAGTGTTATCCACTCTACAGTGTGGATACAAAGTACACCAGAGCATGAGATGCAGCACAGAAACAGTACTCCTTTATCACCCTCAGCCTCCCAAGGTAACACAGGCAACTCCAATTATTTTCTTAAATTAAGTGTTCTAAAACTAGAGGAAAGGTTAAATATGGGAATGATGGGGAAGATAAAAAATTCAGTTTGGACTATGTTGAGAAGTTGGTTAGAACTCCAAGTGGAGGTTTCTAATGGGTAGCTGGATCCATGGTTCTAGAGTTAAAGAAAGGGTTCTGTTCTAGAAAGTCCAGGCTACAGGGTAGAAACTTTGGGAGTTACAGATGGAGTCTGAAGTCCTCAAACAGAGGAGATCACTAAACAAGTGTTATGGATTGAATTGTGTCCCCCCAAAATATCTGTCAACTTGGCTAAGTCATGATTCCCAGTATTGCATAGTTGTGTAATCTGATGTGATTTCCTTATGTGTTGTAAACTCTATCACTATGATGAGATTATACTGGTGACTTCTACAAGATTGGATAGTGTCTTGAGCCAGTCTATTCTGAGATATAGAAGAGAGAAGTGAGCAGAGACACATGGGAACCTCATACCACCAAGAAAGCAGTGCCGGGAGCAGAGCACGTCCTTTGGACCTGAGGTTCCTGTGCAAGACAAGCTCCCAGACCAAGGGAAGATTGATGCCACAGACCTTTCTCCAGAGATGACAGAGAAAGCATTCCCTTGGAGCTGACACCTAAGTTTGGACTTGCTGACCCACAGAACAAGGGAGCTGAGTGCCTGTGTGCAGGAGGCTTCCTGGCGGAGTGTGGTGCCTCTGGGTACTTATCAGTGGAGCTACTGAGCTTTGGAACACTTGCCCCAGCAGGGCAGATGGGGGTGGGAGGCCCGAGGGCTGAGATGCCACAGAAAGCAGAAGCTGAAGAGACAAGGAACACAAGAAGCTGAGCTGCTTCCATCTCAAAAGGTATGGCCATGACCTCAGGGGTTTCAAAGGGTGGAGCCATGGCCTCTGGTGTTTCTAAGGGTAGAGTTTTCACTCCGATGCACTAGGAGAATGGTGTACCTAAAGCCAAGGGAGCAGAGTTGCCATCCCAGTGGGCCTGGAAGGCGGAGCTGAAGCCCAGGGTCAAGGGGCCTCCATTCAGAATCCAGAGACTGTGGCCAATATTTAGAGTCTGGAGGATAGGGCTATTGTGTAAATTGTCTCAGAGAACAGAAAATTGTTTTCAAAGCCTTAAGGGCTAATGTAATATGTTCTGCTGATTTCTTTCGTGCCTGTTATCCCTTCTTCTCCTCCAATTTCTCCTATTTATAATGGAAATGTCTAGCTTGTACCTGTTCTGTCATTGTACCTTTGGAAGCAGAAAACTTGTATTCTAGATTTCATAGATGAAGAAGAATTTTTGGATTTTGGACTTGGAGTTGATTTAAGACTTTTTTATGATATAATGGAGTGAATATGTTTTACATGTGGCAAGGACATGAATTTTGGGGGACCAAAGGGTGGAGTGTCATGGATTGAACTGTGTCCCTGAAAAATATCTGTCAACTTGGCTAGGTCATGATTCCGCGGTACCAAAAGTCTTAGGCTGGGTTCTCTAGAGAAGCAAAACCAATAAAGCATGTAAATATATATATAGAGAGATTTATATCAAGAAAACAGCTCACTCAATTGTAGAGGCTAGAACGTCCCAAGTCCATGGATCAGGGTAGAAGACTCTCCCAATTCACGGAGCCACAGAAGCTGGCGAGCCCAAGATCGACAGGTCGGAGAGCAGGGCTCCCGCTCACAGGCTGTGAAGGTTGATGAATTCCCAGATCAGCAGGCAAGACCACAAGGTTTCTCCTGATTCATGTAGCTGCAGGGGCTGGCAAACCCAAGATCGGCAGGTCAGAGAGCAGGGCTCCGCTCACAGGCTGTGAAGATCGACGAATCTCAAGTTCGGCAGATAAGCTAACAGCTCAAGTCCCAAGAACTGGAGGTGAAATGAGAGGAGGCAGTTGCAGGATCCAGAGACAGCAAACAGCCAGAACATCTGCTTATATTCAGATGGAGGTCACACCCCCAAGGAAACTCCCTTCCATCTGATTGGCTACTCACAGTATATTCAGTCATGGGAGTGATCACATACGTATAAACACTGACTCAGCCAAGTTGACACACAGTCTTATCCATCACAGCAAGTAAATGTGGATAGAAATGAGAGGAGATTCTCTCTAAGGACTGAGTGGTGGGGTTTCCAGCGTTTAGATTTTTGGAAGAAGAACCAGCACAGGAGGCTGAGCAGAGCAGTCAGTGTTGTAGGAGGAAGAACAAGAGAGATTGGAGTCTCGGCAGACACTGAGGAAAGAATTTCAGAAATGTGGGAGGGACCACTCTATCAAACGCTATGAATGGGCCAAGTAAATTGAGGACTGAAAATTGATCATTGGGTAGAACAAAGTGGAGGATGCTGGTGACCATGAGGGTAGTAGCTTCTTAGGAGTGGAGGTGATTTGTGTTGCCAGTGCATCTGCCTCAGCCATTTCCAGCCATGGAAAGTCAACAGAGCAATCGAGCATCAAAATATTATCCCCTTCCCCCTCAGTATCATGGCACTGTCCCCGTAGGGATTTAGCAATAACGATCTAGGGCCTTGCCACTCAAAGTGTGGTCTGCAGCCCCAGCAGCATCCATATCACCAGGATGTTGTTTATAAATGCAGCCTTTGGGGCCCTACCCATATCTACTCAGAATCTGCATTTTACCAAGATCTGTCACCACGTGATTCATATGTACATTAAATTTTGGGAAACACTGACTTCTGATCTTTGGAGCCATCCACTCTTCCAATTATCTTCCTTCTATGAGAGTCTTTCCATCAATTATAAATAAAAAAAAGATAATAATTCCTATTCCATTTGTAAGGAGAGTGAGCGTATACACTAGGGGCTAGACTATAAAAAACAAAAACCTGGTAGAGTTATGATGAGTATGTTTATATGCCTTATGTTCTTTTCTTTCTTTTTTTCATTTCTATAAATGTAGTCAGCATATGGTAGTGGAAAGAACACAGACTTTGTTGTAAACAACCCTGGATTCTAATTCTGGTTCTGGCAGTTATTTTCAGTATGACCTTGGTCCAGTTAAACTCTCTGATCATCCATGTCCTCATCTGTGTTATGAGCATATTGCCTTACAGTGTTTTGCTTGTTCAGAGAAAGGAATATATAGGAAACATCTAAAAGATTACCTGGCACATAATAGGTACTCAACAAATAGAAGTTTTTATTATAATTGTAGGGTATGCATAATTGTAGAATAATCCCTAAGTCTGTCTTGAAGTAAATTGAAAGTATAGAAAGAGCACAAGATGGAGGAGCAAGGCACCGTGTCAGGAGCTCTGCCCCTCCCTTGTGTGTGAACTTGGACTCTGGTGCTCAGTTTCCATATCTGTAAAATTGTTTGGGTTAAGCTAGACAGTTTCTAATTTCTTTTCAACTTTAAAAGTTCATGATTCCAGATGAGATTTATTTTATGCTGCCAGTGTATTTTCAATGAATGAGAGTTTACGTAAGCTGAAGTTGCACTGGCGGTAACACTCAGTTCTGACATCTCTGATGGGAAATTTAATAAGAGATGATTGTGAGGAAGTACCACGGACAATTGAATATTATGTACGGTAACTATTAGGTCTGATTATATTATTCTGTAATGCAGTGCAACCAAAATATATTTATGTCTGCAATTTAGGTAAAAAAAATTCTGGCCTTGTGGATATTATTTATCCCCTAAGATGGGCTTAGAGCCCTGGTGGCACAGTGGTTAAGAGCTTGGCTGCTAACCAAAAGGTAGGCAGTCTGAATCCACCAGCTGCTCCTTGGAAACCCTATTGGGCAGTTCTACTCTGTCCTATAGGGTGGCTACGAGTCAAAATTGACTCAATGGCAATGTGTTTTATGTGTCAGAAAGGCTTAATGGTATATTTGAAATTATAGGGAATATTGTTGTTATATACCATCGAGTCAATTCCCAGGGACTATGGCAGATATAAAAGATATAGCTCTACCTCTTTTTAATTTAAGAATCTGTTCAAATTTGAGCAAATATAGAGGCAAGTTGCTTCAATTCCTCCTTGACTGGATTAAGATTTAAGTTTTATTTTCTTTGTGCTGCCCTGAATTCTCGATGTATGCAACACAGGCTAATTGTAGAGGAAAGTTATAGTCAAGTGTATTATTTTTGTGTTTATTCATTTCAGCACCGTCAAAACATGCAAAATGACTCTGAATCTGAAATGGAGCCCTCTTGTTGCAGTTTGGATCAGCTTATGGAAAGGATGAGAGGAAAAGATTTACAGCTCTTAGAAATGAACAAAGAGAATGAAGTATTGAAAATCAAGGTATGATCATGACGAGAAACTTCTAATTTTGCATACTGAGCTTTTGAGCCAATAGAATAGATTGTTAGCATTCTTGGATCTGGAAAGTAGAGGGACATACACACATACACACACACAGATCACACAAATGCTCTTATACATAGAAGAGCATTTTTACATTTCACTGTTTTGTTTTGGAGACTACTTTTATGTTTAAAAAAGCCTTACAAAAGTGTTTCCATATTTAATGAATATAAACTGCAGCATTCATAGTCAAATGTCTCATTATTTGTTTATCTGCTATGGCTGGATATTTTCTGTTTTCCTTTTTTGTGTATTTTATATGCAGTACTGCAGGGAATATCTTGGCAGGTAAGTCTTGGCATTTGTCTTTGATTATTTCCTCAGGTTAAATCCTTGGAAGATTCATGACACTTTAGCTTTACTGTCCTTTATACCCCAACCTTGGCCCACTTCTCTTTCAGGAAAATTCGCCTTTTAGTACTGTTGTGAACATCAGTGATAAAATGTTTGCCAATAAGTGTGATAAGCTGGCAGGATGTTGTGGAGTTCTCTGAAGGGTGTTGTCTGTAACTGGAGAGCATTGATACCTTTGGACTCTAGACTGGCCTGGCCAGTGCCAATCTGTCTGCGTTGCCACTCTCACTAAACAGGGGTTTCTGACTTTGTTTCTTCATACCAGATAAGTGTTTTTTCTCCTATCCATTGTCTGTGATGGTGCAAATGGTACAGTTACAACCTCGGTGTTTTTAATTGCCCATCAAACTGTTCTGCCTTTAATGCTTTTTACTGTAAATGTCACAACATGCATGGTGACCTTTTTTCCCTAGCTGGACGCCTCCAGAGAAGCTGGAGCAGCGGCTCTGAGAAACGTGGCACAGAGATTGTTTGAAAACTATCAACGACAGTCTGAAGAAGTTAGAAAAAAGCACGAGGACAGTGCACACTCACTCCAGGTACTGAGCTAGAGCTTGTCTGTTAGAAAACTAAAGCCCCTATTCATTCAAGTCCCTCTTTTCAGAGGAATTAGATGTGAGACAAGCAGTGGGCAAGTTACTTGGCAAGCTCAAGAGAGGGGAGGGTGTATGTCTTTTGTCCCCCAGCCTTACTTAGCCTAGTGTCCAAACCTGTTGCCTTCAATTTGATTGTGACTCCTATTGAGCCTATAGGACAGAGTAGAACTGCCCCATAGAGTTTCCAAGGCTGTAATCTTTATGGAAGCAGATTGCCACATCTTTCTTCCATGGAGCAGTTGGTGGGTTTAAACCACCAACCTCTTGGTTAGCAGCCAAGTGCTTGACCATTGTGCCACCAGGCCTCCTTAGCCCGGTGTTCAGATGGAGCTAAACTGCTGGGTTGCTACTCTGCTCAGAGCCCCTGCAGAGCACGTAGGTGGGAGGAAGGCAGTGCCACCCTGCTTGGAAGTCAGGGCTGGCCTCAGTGAAACTGACAAGTAACTTCTCTTCTGGTACTGCCTCTGACTAATGAAATGACCCAGGCTGAGTCATTCTGCCTCTCCGGACTTGGGTTTTCTTGTCCCTAAAATGAAAGAGAATTGGTTCGGGCAAATGGTTTTCATTCTTTAGATTTAAAATATAAATATATATAAATATAAATAAATGTCTACTAAATAAAAGGAGCCCTGGTCGCGCAGTGGTTAAGAGCTATATCTGCTAACCAAAAGGTCGGCAGTTTGAATCTACCAGCCACTCCTCGGAAATCCTATGAGGCAGTTCTACTCTGTCCTATAGGGTTGCTGGGAAATGGAATCAACTTGATGGCAACGGGTTTAGTGCTTTCTTTTTTTTTTTAGTATTAAATATATTAAAATATATTTAAAAATATATAAAGACATATACAAACACGCACACACACACACGTATATTTTGTTGGTTTTTAAGCTGAAAAATATATTCTAGGACTGGAGGGAAAATGTGTTTGTGTGTTTTTGTTGAAACTCAAAATACAAAAGAGTTAGGAGGGAAGCTAATTTTTGCTGAGTGGGCACCTGCAGTTCTGCCAGCTCTGGCTCTAGGAAGGTCCCCAGGAGAGCACAGTAGGAAATCCAGCGAGTAGGTGACATCCTCTCATGCTTCTGGCCATGGAGATGATTACTGCACACTTGCATGCATGCAGGATGCAGATAAAGACTGACTGAGTGAAGTGAGCTGGCATTTGAGGACTGGAAGTACACTGTGTGAGCGTGGGGCTCGGGGGAATGGGAGTCCTTTCAAAGAAGGCTCAGCCCCAGCCAGAGCTGCCTGGAAGGAATGCCCACCTGGTGTTGTCAAGGGAAGCAAGATACTTTTTTTTTTAAAACTGTGATATTGAGAGTTCTATTCAATACACACACTTGTGTGTATGCACATATATGCATGCACACTCTATAGAATAGTCAGTGGAAACACTCCTAAATGTGGCCATGGACTGCCAGAGGGAGGCCTCTCTTCTATGATCTATCAGCTCAAGTCTTGCTATATGCTTAGAACCAGGGCTTCAAACTGGTTCGTTTCAGTTTGACCCCATGCTGAGCATTTGCATTTCCACCCGAGACACACTGCATCAGAGTCTGCATTTTAACAAGATTCCCCAGGTGATTCTTATGTGCTTGTTAAAATATAGATTCTGATTCAGTGTATCTGGGGTGGAAATGCAAATTCTCATCAGGGGGTCGAAACGGAATGAACTGGTTCAAAGCCCTGCTTTGAAATAACCCATGATACAGTGGTGAGAATTATTCTGCTTTTATGACACTTCCTGATCAAAAAGATGCCTTTTTTTTTTTAGTAGAACAAAGATTTTATTTTTGTTCTAGATAAGTTGTATTGCAAAAAAGTGAAAAGCTTTGCTTTTCTTAAATTAATATTTCTCTTCCTTATACTAGTTCAGTTAGTATGCATTATGGCTACAAATGTACATATTCTAGGACTAATATTTACACATTATTAATTTAGCTATTGATCTAGCATTCTTATATTTTATCAGGTTTATTTTGAAGAAAACACTGAATTCCAAAGGGTAATCCTGAACAACTGTGAATTATGAATTTTTTGGTTAGTCAGAAAATTATAGAAGGAGGTAACACTTGTATAGTTTATTAAAAACAAGAATTTGACAACTGTTTTTCTGACCAAAGGCTAACAAGCTTGAATACGAGCAGAAGTTGAAACAACATGTTGAAAATTTGAATCAAGTTGCTGAAAAGCTTGAAGAAAAACACAACCGAATCACAAAATTGGAGAACCTTGTACAGCAAATGGAAAAGGTGAGCTGCTAGAGAATTAAACAGATTCCTTCCTGACAGAGTTCGTGTGAGAATTAAAGAAAATTAACATTAAAATGAATAGGACAGTAAATTAAATGAAAAAAAGAGAAAAAACATTAAGTGAAAGTACCCTTCATAATACTTGGTTTTAGGAGTTACTCAGTAATGTTAGTTTCTTCACCTAAACATTTAATAAGATCCATCCTATAGTTATTGATTTATCTCTCACCAAATATTGCATTCATTTCTTTGTCTGTCACATCCTCCCACTTTTTAGTAAACGTATCTTTTAGAAAGAGAACTCAGTGAGACCGTGAATGGAAACAATGGAAGAGATTCCCAAGTCCACCTACTCCTAATAATAGAGTGAATCCTGATAATCAAAGCATTTTTATGTATTAGGGTTAGCAAAGTATCCATTTTTGGCCATTCAGGTCCACTTACAGGTTTGTAAAAATTTATGGCTGCTCCAGGAGAGATGTAGTTTGCATTAAGAAATCCAGACCTTCTGGAACCAGTGAGGCTGGATTAATACCCAAAACTATTGCCCTGAGGTAATCTTTAAACCTTAAAACTCAAACCAAAAGTTTTCCCAGAAGTCCACTTTGTTTTTTGTTTTTGTTTTTTTTTTTAATTTAATTTTCTTTTTATTGTACTTTAGATGAAGGTTTACAGAACAAACAGTTTCTCATTAAACAGTTAGTACACATATTGTTTCATGACAATGGTTAACAACCTCACGACATGTCAACACTCTCCCTTCTCAACCTTGGGTTCCCTGTTACCAGCTTTCCTGTCCCCTCTTGCCTTCTAGTCCTTGTCCCTGGACTGTTCTGCCCCATTAGTCTCGTTTTGTTTTATGGGGCTGTCTAATCTTTGGCTGAAGGGTGAACCTCGGGAGTGACTTCATTACTGAGCTAAAAGGGTGTCTGGGAGCCATACTTTCAAGGTTTCCCCAATCTCTGTCAGGCCAGTAAGTCTGGTCTTTTTCTGTGAGTTAGAGTTTTGTTCTACATCTTTCTCCAGCTCTGTCTGGGACCTTCTGTTGTGATCCCAGTCAGAGCAGTCGGTGGTGGTAGTTGGGCACCATCTAGTTGTACTGGACTCAGTCTGGTGGAGGCCGTAGTAATTGTGGTCTGTTAGTTCTCTGGACTGATCTTTTCCTTGTATCTTGTTTTCTTCTTTCTCTCTTGCTGCTGAAGGAGTGCAGAAGTCCACTTTGAATCAAACAGCAGTTTAGCTTAATTAGTAAAGTATGTCTGCCTTGAGCGTTGTGCTCTTTCAAAGATTTTTCTCTGTGGGATCAAATTTACAACAGCATCTCCAAAGGTTAGATGAGAAGCTTAGCGGGCAGTGACAAGGTAGCGGTGGTGGAATAATTTGGAAAGAGATAGCAAGAATGGTTATACAACTTGAAGAAAGTAAACAATGTCATTGAATTGTACATGTAGAATTTTGTTGAAATGGTATATCCTTTGCTGTGTATATTTTCACAAAATAAAAAAGGAAAGCTATTATATGGAAACTGGAACTTTCAAAAGAGATAATTTAAGGAAGAGTAATAATATAACAAACATTCTTACAGAAAGTTTCATGCAGTGTTCCTTTAAATAGCAAGCACACCAAATGTATACAAAAGGTGAGCACATACATTTAATTATGCACATCTTAGAATCTGGAATTCAGACAAATCAAGAAACACTACTTTTTAACAGCAAACCAAACAAATAGAAAACTGGCATCTCCAAAACTGAGTAAGGTAGATAAGAATACAGGCTTTGACTTCTAGCCAATGTTGCCCAATCGATCCACTTTTCTATTTATTGTATTGATTCCCCAACTTGCCTCTGTTCTTCTCAGCCTTAATTTGTTTCATGACACTGCCTTGGTTAACGCTGTTTTGGAAATGTCACTTCAAAAACATCAGATTTCAATATTCAGATTTCTTACCTGTAAAAATGGCATAGGGAGCACACCTGACCTCCTCTAACTTCTCAAGGGGGAAGGAGAATCAAGATCAACAGCCCAAGGCTGATTCCTGTGAGGTGGAGGTCAGACATTCCTCCTCTCTCTGCCATCACCAACCGTCCCTCCCACAGCACTCTGTACTTCTCTTCTGGGTTCGATAATTCATTGCAATGGCCACACTGAACTCATAGACAATACTCACGATTATGGGGTCTATTAGGGAAATAACAGTTACAATTCAGGTTCAGGAACACTCAGGATATAGTTCTTCCATGAAGACAACCTCTTCCCAGCCATGCTCTCAGGCACCTCTCCCTGGCCCTCAGCCTCTGCCCAAAGGCACTCAGCTTTCTCTCTCTGTGAGCCAGGAAGCCTACTGCACAGTCTCTCCTGCTGGTCTCTCTTGCCAGCGCTTCTCTGCTACTGCTTCTTGCAGTCTCTGCTGTCGCGTCAATGCTGCTGCTTCTCCTTGCCATCAGTGGTACAGCTCTCTCTCTCTCTCTGTTTCATTGTTCCAGGAGCTTCTCAGCACAGGGATCCTGGGTCCAAAGGACATGCTGGCTTCTGGCTGTTCTTCCTAGTTGGGGTGGAATCTTCTCTCTCTCGCCTCTGGGATGGCTCATTTCAAGCCCAGCAGGGTGGCAAAAGTGACGAATCCCCTTGGTGGGCCACAATTATCTTATCTGCATGGCCCCACCCAATCGTTTGGGTGGGAGTTACAAGACCATGGTTACAAAGGCCACACAAAAGCAATCAATCGCACCATGTTACCAAAAGAACTTTAGTTTCAAAACATTTCCCAAGAATTTAATGTTTTATAACTCTGAATTGGGCTGAATTTGTTATCTTAATGAAGGTTCTACAAGAAAGTCACAAAAAATTAAATAAGCCAAATCTTAACTGGATATAACAATAGTAATGTACACAGCTGCCTATGTGTCTCGTGTGGTGGGTCACTGTGTGTTGGGCTTTAGCACAGTATAACTGGGCTAGAGTGTCCCAAGCAGTTGGTTATCTAGGCATGACATTACTTCATAATTATGCATTTTTGGACAAACTGTTATATTTAGATGAATACTTTGTAGTGTTAGAATATTTCATTCTGTAATAGAGTTGAATAAACCAATAAAATAGTACTAAGAATGTTGGCATTTAGGAAAGACAAGTCTGGAATGCAAGTAGGGCTGTATAACCAAACAACCTGATGAACAAGCTTGAAATTTAAGTTTAGACCTGTGACCGCCAGGTGTTTAGAGGCTACCTGTCAGTCCCTGAAAATTAACAAAAGAACAAAAACAACAAAAAATACCAGTTGCTGTTGAGTCTATTCCCACTCATGGCGACCCTATGTGTTGCAAAGTAGAACTACGCTCCTAAGGGTTTTCATGACTGTGACCTTTCAGCAGGTCGCCAGGCCTTTGTCAGAGGGGCCTCTGGGTGGGTTTGAACCGCCAACCTTCACTTAGTAACCAAGTGCTTAACCATTTGTACCCAGGGACCAAACCAAACAAAAGAACAGTGGAAAATAATTTCTATTTCTTAGCAACTGCAGGAAATCCGTGCTAGATGTGAGCTCACCCCAGAGTTCTGGTGTATAGTCACTCAACTGTTTATTCAAAAAATATCTGAGCACCTACCATGTGCCAGGCAGAGCTAGGGGTGGGTCTGCATTTGTGAATGAACCAGACGTAGTTTCTCTTCTTGTGAAGATTACAATGTAGTATATCTGGATAGTGTGGGGCTCAAGGAACTTTCCAGGTTTCCCTTCTTTCATTCTCCTAGGGGGCCTTTAACCGAAAACCTATTGCCGCTGAGTCAATTCAGACTCATAGAGACCCTATAGGACAGAGTAGAACTGCCCCATCGGGTTTCCAAGTAGCGGCTGGTGGATTTGAACTGTAGACCTTTCGGTTAGCAGCCAAACGCCTAACCACTGTACCACCAGGGCTCCAGGGACCATTTAGGGAGGCTGAAAACCCTGTTGAAGTTAGGGGAGTATACCCCAGATTGAGGGCGAGTGGCTAAGATACTGATACTACATTTTTGGAGAAGTCCTGCCTTGATATTGGCCCATAAGTGTGGTCTGTCTGTAGGAGCTCTGTGAGCTTAGGGAGTAGGTGGAGAGGATGCCCATAGCTCAGCAAGGACATGCAGCAACCTTCAGTGACTTTCTGAGGGGATTGCTATTGGAGTCTCTGGGAGGTGGAGGTAGGTGGGGATGGGGTGCAGGAGCAACGTACAGGAATTTAAAAAAATATTTGGCATAAAGAATCTTATATTTGTAAAGCAAACAAGAAATTAATTAAAACTATATTAAAAAAAAACAAAAACAAAAACAAGGGTTGGCAACATTTTCTTAGTTTAGGGAGGCCCTGAGAAGACAGGCTCTGAGGAAGGGCTTCTCAGGTGGGGAGTGTGTATGAGAATGAGGGGAGTACTGAGAATTTAGCATTCATCATCAGAAGACATGAGTTTAAACAGGAAATGAAAATTAGAACTGAACAAACACAACAAAGGTTGATAAATGCTGCCTTGGTAGCGGGTTCTCCCTGGAGAAGGATTCATTTTCTACTCGTTTGAACAAGCCACTGCTCTAGTAAATAGCCATTAGTGGTATGAGGTCTGGTAATGAAGACATTACTTAAACCCTTCACCATCTGTCCCACTTTAATCAGGAATGCAGTGAGAACGAATTCCATAAATACAGTGATAAGCCAGCAAAAACGCCCAATAAGGGCATTTTAATATGGCATATGTTCCTTTTGCTAGCAGGAACAGAAATTCACATGCATCATAGTATTTGGTTTGGTGTCATTGATGTAGCTCTGCTAGAGTTTTAGAGCTCAAAGGAGCTTTCAGGACCACCTAGTTCCTCATTATCTTTGCATAGGTGAAGACAGTGTGAACAAGAAGCTGTTTCACAGTTCTCCAGTTACTAGTCCACAGCCCTTTCCACTATGCCCTGATCTTCTCAGATGCAGGATAAAAAATGATATCCTTGCTTCCTAAACTGTTTAGATGCTAATATTTGCTAATGATTTAAATTGGTGCCCACTCTGATCAATAACCCATTGCCATCAAGTGGATTCCGACTCACAGAGACCCTATAGGACAGAGTAGAGCTGCCCCACAGGGTTTCCAAGGAGTGGCTGGTGGGTTGAAACTGCTGACCTTTTGGTTAACAGCCAGGCTCTTAACCACTGCGCCACCAGGGCTCCAATACTCTGATTGATAGGGCAGGGCAATCTTGAGTGGGAACAGTGGACTGGCCACTGGGTGGTGCTGTCAACTCTTTTATCCTTTCTGGAAGATATTGTCTCTGAGAAATACCAGTTGGTACAGTAGTAATTTTCTGTATTGTCAAACAGAAGGCATTAAGAACCCAAACTAGATGCTTGAGATCTGGCCAAGGTAGAAATTTACTTGCCCAGATATCTGGTCTCCTTGAACCTGGTTATGCAGATTCATTAATACAGAGTGAGTCCATGAGGAGAATGTCTGTTAAACACCATTTTCCCCTACAAATTCAAAATATATTATTTGTGTTGTGTTCCTTTGATGATCCAAAATCACCTTGTAAGGCCTATCTTGTGATCCCTTGGAAATAATTTGAAGACAATTAATGCTGCATAGGGACAATTTCTATGTATGGTAAGAATGCTACAGGGGAATTCAAAAGTTAGTCTAATTAAAGAGAAAAGCATGTAAACTATGAAGTATTTTTTATCTTCAAATTATTCTATATTGAGGGCCTTCTATGTGCCAAGGAAGCTAGCAGGCCTTTCACATATATTAACTCCAATCACCCCAACATTTCAATATAGACAGTATTATCCCCATTTTAAGGAGCCCTGGTGGCACAATGGTTAAGTGCTCAGTTGCTAACTGAAAGGTTGACAGTTTGAACCCACCAGCAGCTCTGCAGGAGAAAAGACCTGGCGATCTGCTCCCGTAAAGATTACAGCCTAGGAAACCCTATGGGGAAGTTCTGCTCTGTCTTCTAGGGTTGCTATGAGTTGGAATTGATTTGACGGCACACAACAACAATCCCGATTTTAGGGATGTTCAAAAAGTTAAAAACATGACTTGTACAAATATAGAATGAATACATGTTCAACGTTTTATTCATCCCACTAATTTAATGAGGGACAGAGTAAGACGGCACAACTAATTGAAATAGAACATTTTGAAAAACTGGCTATAGGCATTTGGAATAAAGGAGTATAGAGTAGCTAGGCTAGATACAAAAGTGGTTAACGTCCTCTAGGGATATTAAACCATAACTTTTAGGGTTCTCTTTTCCACGAGACAGAAATCCACAAATCAGCATGTAGTTTCACAGAGTCAGGGCTCTAATCGAATAAAAAATAATAAAGTCAAACACAAGGACATTCTCTGAGAAAATTAAATAATCCTTGGTTGGGATTATTAAACAATGATCCAATATGACATTCAAACCACATACTGTATACTTTTTAGATTTCCAAGTCTTGGTTAATTTTTCTTAACAATGATAGGCCCAGAGAGGTTAAAACCATGGCCAAAAACACAGCCATGAAGTTTCAAAATCAGGTCAGTCCATGTCCAAGGTCTTTCTGATTTTTCTGCAACACAGCACTGCCTTGTATTGTACCCGTACAAATAAAGCAGGAGGAAGTTGTTTGTTTTTTAATTGTGCTTTAGGTGAAAGTTTACACTCAAGTGAATTTCTCATACAAAAATTTGTACACATACTGTTTTATGACCTTAGTTGCAATCCCCACAATGTAACAGCACATTCCTGCTTTCCACTCCGGGTTCCCTGTGTCCATTCAACCAGTTTCTGTCCCTTCCTGCCATCTCATCCTGCCTCCCAACAGGAGCTACCATTTGCTCTCGTGTATCTGATTGAACTAAGAAGCGCACTCCTCACCTGTATTATTTTTTGTTTTACAGTCCTGTCTAATCTTTGCCTGAAGAGTGGGAGTTGTTTTAAACAGCATTGTAAATGGTTTTAAAAATCTCTCCAAGTTGATCCCATCCACGTTGCCAACACCAGTTCCTGCCTTTTCTCAGTCTGCTCTCCTTATTTCTCCCAACTTGGCAACTTAAACCAGCAGGCCAAAGCTCCAAATTCTTTTTTTTTCAGCATGTAGCCATCAAATATAAAAAAGAATGCAGTCATCTCAGCCTGGTTTTTCGTAGACTTGTCTGTTTCCCTTTTAGTTGGAAAGAGTTTGGTTTAATAATGGTTTAAGACATTTCTTCACATATTATTTCTCAATGTCATAATTTCTCCTGCATCCTAATTAAGAAGCTATTTTATCATTTGTATCCTTAATTCTTCATTAAAAATACATGTACAACTTTGCTATTTCCTGACAGACGCCATGGAGCAGCTAGGGATGTCAAGATAAGAGCAGTAGTGCCCTTGGATATCAACAACTCTGTCTAATGTGGGAGAAACAGGTGTAATGACAGGAGAGGCGATGCTGGGAGAGGCAATGCCTAGAGAGGGATGAGCAGGCGGTTTGCATCTGGGCGGATGGAGAGAGGCAGGAGTACTGTGCAGACTGTATTTCAGCAGTGGGCTGGAGAGGAGCAAAAGCTCTGCTGGCAGGTGAGGGGAGTGAAGACAACTGGTCTTGACCTGTCATTGAGCTACCTGTAAACCATGCCAGAAGGTGCCCCCATCCAAGCTTCATTAGGGATGGGGTGTAACAGCTCGTTTGAAATTAGCTCTTCAGCTCAAGCCATGTTTCTGATATTACAAGAAGCATCTTTTGTGGACAGTTTGGAAGAATGCCTTACCACACACACACACACACACACACACACACACACACACACACCAAATAAGTGAAAACTATCTTATTTTCTCCTAGGAAAAGAGAACACTGCTAGAAAGAAAAATGTCTCTGGAAAACAAGCTGCTGCAACGCAAAGCCAACGCTACATATGCTAAAAGGTTTGCAAATCAAGCCCCTAAGTAAAAGCAGTTCCGGATATCTTTCCTCTCCACTGGTACGCTGGCCATGGATAGAGATTCTGCAACCCACAAGGGAATAGGACAACTGACAATGCAGGAGGGAGGGAGGATCCCTAGGATTAATAACCGTGTACCTCCCCTTCCCTACCTCTTGGATAATCAGGTGGCAGGGTTCGCTGAGAGTACTGGGGAACATGTGGGTTAATCCTTCTCAAGAGTAACTAAGCCTCCCTGTTTTCTTTTAGTGCTAAGGAGGATATGCTGTAGAGATCTCCCTTTCCTGTGATGCTTTTGTTGTTGTTGTTAATTGGTCTATGCTAAAGCCAACTGGACTGCCCACACATGGAAAGTTTGTAGTTTTGTGGTGCTCCTCAACTCTGCAGATAAGGAAAGAAATATTGCGGAAAACATCCTTAGTTCTTTGGACTTATAAATACTCATAAATTAATTCCAAGCAGTTACAGAGTCTTCAGTATGCTGGGGGTGGAGGTGGATTTGTGGTTATCACCACAACTGGTTTACTACTCAACCGCTATCAGAACAAGCCTGTGGAATATCATGTAACATGTCATTTGAAGTTTTCTGAGAGTTTTTTAATTCCAAGCCCATCATGGTCATTATATGTTGTGATGTAAAGATATAATGGTCAGAGTCAAGTCTATTTCAAGATCTTAGCTTGTCCATCTAGAGCTATTGTTCACTAGGATGTCAGGTACTATTATGACCTTCAGAATATGCAAATAACTTACGAGTATTTGCTGTTCTTATTCATTCAATAACATTTGCTCAAACATCCCTCTCTCACAGAGAGGGATTTTTTTCTCCCTATTTTTCTATCGTTTCCTAATACATATCTTCCTTTTCTCGCCTCTCCTTATATTCTGTGCTTTCTGTCAGGCTCATATTCATGCATTTTGGGTCACATTCTGCCAAAGTCGCAGGAATGGGCTGACCCAGGCAATAGCACAAATATATTTGGCAATACTGAGATACCACTAAGTGATTAATTTCCCCATCTTCCTTCCTGTGTACATGCATATATTCCCTGAAGGTGGACTTCTAAGGTAGGTTTGTAGCGCTGCACAACCCTGTAGAGAATGAAGGAAATATTGTGGAAAACATCCTTAAGTCATCGGAATTACTTGCAGATACTCATTTAATTTTAATTAAATCTTTGACTTAACTTATTTTTTTCTTTCCTTAAAAGAGTTTTCAATGCCACAGAACTACTGGCTTGGACATTGAGCTTTGTGTTAAGCAGACAGGCAGTCTGAGCTTGATTTTTTTTTCTTTAAAAAATGTTTTTTTTTTATATTGATAATAGAGTTTTTGTCAGTCTTTGAACCAACAATGTAAGTGTTTTAAAAGCCAGACTGATCTTTTCTCTCAATTCTATATATATGAGCAGTTGTTAAAAGGAATTCTCAAAAAGCTCTTAAGGAGGCTATAGAGATGTCTTGAGGGAAATGGATGCTTTGTGTTTCCAGAAGGGTGTTTGAACATCCAGGCTCATGCAGTTTTCATAGATTGTAGGTATCACAAATATCTATTTTACATATTACTTTTTCTGAGCGATGTGTGAAGATATTCAGTCTTCAAAGTGACAAGAAGATAAAATTACTTGTATTAGAATTTTGGTTGAAGCAATAGAGGGTTGGTTAAGCTGCCATACGTAAAGGGGTTTTTGTTAGGTTAAGACTGGATAGATGTGGCCTTAAAGAAGATGAAGCTAATGGGAAGACGGAAGGGCTATCCTTTAGCATCTAGTTTTTGGAACCAAGCTATTTTGTTGCTCCCATTCCATCATGGATGTTTGTGCAGTTTAACTCTTCTCTTAGTCTTTGTTTTGCCTGTGTGATTCATTAACTTTTTACCCCATGGCACCAACTGCCTTATGTTCTCTGCATTTTCCTTTCAAATTCCAGAGGAAAGACTCTGATTGGCTTAGTACCACTTCCTGTACTGGGGAGACTGATGATGTTAGCCAACCCCTACACTGTCAGCCAACCAGTGGCCTTTGGCAGGTACTCACTCGCAGTCCTCCGCTTACTCCAGGAATAGCCTAGGGCAGCTTCCCTGAGCAAGCCTATGGATGGTTTAATTTCACCTAGGCATAGATGTTGAGTATGACAGGCATCATGCCCTTTTCTTTTTTTTTTTTAATTGCAGTGGGCTTCCATTCTGCTATTTGATAAGAAAATTCAATATATTCTAATAAGTATTTCTAATATTAAAAAGCATCTCTGAGGATAATCATTTTAAGCCTTTATGGCTCAGAAAAAATGACAAAATCTTTCCATACACGTGGAAACAAACTCCTTATAACATATTAAGTTAAACATCATAATTACTTTTAACAAAGAGTTGAAAGATTTGGCTGAAGCACCTTTAAAAACAAAGTTGACTGCATGCTTATACTGCCATTACATATTTTGTGATTAACAATGTCTATGTGACTAAAACCAACAAGTTCTTTGGGAGTTAATTTTTTTTCTAATATATCACTAAGACCAGAAAGATAGTTTTCCAGGATATGCTCATAATGGGGACCCTGAATAATATTTTCAGCTACATCGTTATTGTAGACACAGAGACTGTGCCTCATAGCATCCTTTTTAAAAAGATAGCATGATGGCAAAGAGCAATTCAATCAAAGCCATTATAATAGCCAGGCACAGAGGGCACTGTGGCAAGGTCCAACAACTCTGATGGTGTCAGTGAATCCAAGGATGGGTTTTAGAGCATCCTGAGTCTGGATGGGGACATGGTTTCCTTTGATCACACTGTTGACAGACATTGAGTAGCAGAGAGATTGAGGGTGTGCTTCTTGTCAAGAAGTTAGTCGCGGGAGGGAAAATCACTGACTAGATAGTAGATAAGTGTTAACTTTGGTGAAGGGGAAGACAGTACACAATATAGGGGAAGTCAGCACATTTTGACCAAGACAGAGTCATAGAAAGTTCACAGACACATCCAAACACCTGAGGGACTGAGTTACTGGGGTTGAGGGTTGGGGACCATGGTCTCAGGGGTCCTCTAGGTAAATTGGCATAAGATAGTTCATAAAGACAATGTTCTACATCTAACTTCGGTGAGTAGCATCTAGTGTCTTGAAAGCTCATGAGTGGCCATCTAAGATACATCTACTGGTCCCATCCTGTCCAGAGCAAAGGAGAATGAAGGGAAATATTAGTTCAAAGGACCACAAGAACCACAGACTCCACCAGCCTGAGCCCAGAGCAACTAGACGGTGCCCGGCTCCTACCTCTGGCTGCTCTGACCCTCTCACAATAGAGGGTCCTGGACAGAGTGGGAGAAAAATGTAGAACAAAATTCAAATTTACACACACACATACACACAAAGACCAGACTTACTGGTCTGACAGAGACTAGAAGAACCCCCAAGATTATGACCCCAGGACACCCTTTTAACTCAGAACTGAAGCCACTCCCGAAGTTCACCCTTCAGCCAAAGATTAGACAGGTCTATAAAACAAACAATAACACCTGTGAGGAAGGTGCTTCTTAGTTCAATCAAGTATGCAAGACCAAATGGGCAAAACCTGGCCAAAAGCAAAGCTGAAAAGGCAGGAAGGGACAGGAAAAATGGACAGATGGAAACGGGGAGCCCAAGGTGGGAAAAGGGAGAGTGTTGACACATTGTGAGGATTGCAACCAATATTACAAAACAATTTTTTTTATGAATTGTTGAATAAGAAACTAATTTAGTCTGTAACCTTTCACCTAAAGCACACACGCACACAAAAAGTCTATAGTCATCGTATGTTGCTAAGGCAGAGCTATTAGTTTTCTCATTTTTGAAAGCTAAGATAGAATTGATATCCTTTCTTGAATGCTAAGGAGTCTAACCCAAATATTAAGGGAGTTGCAGATCCCTTCACTCTCCCTCAGTGGTGAATGGAGGGAGTATCTATGGTGTAGTGTCAAAATTCTCCTCTTCTTTTTGGAGGCTTTTTTTGTCTGCTCCATTGCCATTTCTGGGTTGCCCGCTTCTTCAGCTCCAAGTCTGGGCCAAATAAGGCAAAAAGAAAACCAGGAGCTCACAACTGTGTGTTCATTCCTTCGATCCCAAGGTTCTGAGCCTATCTGCCTTCTTCTCTTCACCCATTTAAGTTTTCTCATGTCTGCGTGTATAAAATGTCCAGGGTTTTTGGTTGTCCTTAGTTGGAAGAATAGGAAAAAAGTACATCTACTCCCATCTTCCTAGAAGCAGAAGTCCTTCAATTCTAATTTCGATATTTTCTTTATATTTTTATTCTATTGCATGTGTAGAGAAAACATTGATCAAAAAGTATATTGAGGCATTGAGAGGCAAAGTATGAATCCTAGATGAAAACGCAGACATTTCGTGGAAGGCCGGTTGATTTCTTTTTCTATACTTGGCTTTTTGTTACGTTTGCTTCCTCATTTTGTTTTATGTTTATGTTATGTTTTGCTGCTTCTTTGTTAAGACTGAATGCTTTAACTAAAATATAAATACTAAAGCTTAAAGGAAGCTCAAGAGGCAGCTTATGTAGATATATTCTCACATTTAAAGACCTTAATGAATGACTAGATTTCATATTTATTGAACAATCCTGATAGAAATATTCTGCAACTTCCTTTAGTCCTTCACTACACTTTAGTTCTGGTGTATTAACACACCTAAGCTCCAAAGCTCTGTGTTTTCAGGAGTGATTCTAGAAGTATTTTTCTTCCATCTTGAAACCTATTTCAAATTTGTATTTATCTACAGTGACCTTTTTGGTAATACTTTCAAGGAATACATGGGGATATTATCTGAGCTTCATAACTAACGTATGCACCCCCACCCCCACCCCCACCCCTTCTAAATTGACCTGTTTTCTTTTATGGTCTTGGGTTTTGGGTCATCATGGGACGTAATAAGAACCATTCCAAATACTCACCTTTAGCAGTTCACAATATTCTTATATTTATGGATATTTGAAGTTGGTCTGCCTCTGCCATGTGCCCTGAGTTCTTTTTCATTACTTTCCAGGGAAGTCCTGGGTCGAACCACTCAGTAGGTCCTTGCTGTCTTCCCTCCTTTTTCCTTCCTCACTGGAGCAATTTGGAATTTTAAAACCAGCTGTTGGGCAGATTTTTGCTTGCCTTCTGTGCCGTTTTGATCCTTGTTGTCCTCAAGTCATCTTTTCCCAATGCCTGCATTACTATTCTTCTGAAGTGCCCCAGCTTCCCCCATCCTCTGCATGTTTTCAGCTCCTCTGTCCTCTTAGGTACTGAGCACCATCCCCAGATTCTCAGTCCCTCCTCTTGGATGGTCCTAACCCTCTGCTGCCACCCCTAGTTCTGAGAATCTTCCTCTGAAGATTCCCTTTGTGGGCCGTGAGCATCCCTCATTCATGGATTGGAGTGTTTGCAAGCCTCCAATATCTGGTCCCTCCTTGGACAGTTCTGAGTTCCCCTCACCTCCTTTGGGTCCTGAGCCTCACCCGCTGGGGATCCTGAGATCCCCTCAAGCTCCTGAGAACTTGATAAGGAAGCCTCTGAACCACTGGTCCGGGGTAACTGAAATCTAATGTCAAATCAGGCTGGTGCTGAAGCAGCTATTCCCTGAACTTCAATTTTGGAAATGTGAGAGGGCCTATGTTGCTGCTATTGTTATTCTAATTACATGGGCACAAGCATTTTCATCCTATAAAGTAGTGAAGGCTGTTGCTGTTGTTATGTGCCATTGAGTCAGTTCCAACTCATAGTGACCCCATGAGACAGAGTAGAACTGCCCCATAGGGTTTTGTAGGCTGTAATCTTTATGGGAACAGATCACCAGATCTTTCTCCCACAGAGCTGCTGGGTGAGTTCGAACCTCCAACCTTTCAGTTAGCAGCTGAGCGCTGAACCAGAATTATGATTCCTGCTATACTGAGGCTTAGAACAACTGAGTGACTTCCCTCAGGTCACAAGGTTCCCAAGCGTGGTGTTCTTGCCACAATGCATGTTGCTCATAATTCTGATAATACTGCCAAGAAGAGAAGCAGTCAAAAGCTGTAGAATCAATTCTAATGACCTAAATCAAGCTCTGGGAAAGTGTCAATAATATAAATTCAAAGCTGACACATCTTTTTTCACAATGGTCGATATAGACTCGCAATGTTAATGGGAATTTAATTTCTTTCTTTTTTATCTTGCCCCCTTATAGGTATTGGCATTACCAAAAGTAGTAATCCACAACACATACTAAACCTGTATCGTTGGAAGTGGGTTTCTGATCATATGTAAAGGCCCCACTCCTGCTCCCACGCTGTGACTCTGCTCTCCAAATGTTGTTGTCTGTGCATTTTTGTGGGTGCCAGGTCTGTGAGTGCACGTAGGCAAGACAAGTTAGACACTTAAATGCTTCATTCATCTCAGCACAACTTGACTCAGCTACCTACTAGCCAGAGTCACAGGTGGCCAGAAAGGGCCTTTTGACGTTAAGTTTGTTTTCTCATTCCAATGCATATTCCCAGCAAAGCAGAGGCTGCTTTGTAGCCGTTCATCTTTGGGCCGTCTTACATGGCCTGTGGGATACTGGGCCCCCATCACGCCCTGTAGCTGTGTAGTGTGTGGGGAGAGCCTGGCCACACATGCAGGAAGAAGGAACTGGATAACTCATTAGTAAATATTCTTTTTTTCCTCCGCCTTCTCAGTTGCCAGGATCTTCAAATGGAGATTTCCACTCTCCAGGAGCAGATCTCTCATCTGCAGTTTGTGATTCACTGCCAACATCAGAACCTGCGCAGTGTCATCCAGGAGGTCAGATTAATCAAGTGTATTTCTCTCATAGATGGGATGTTTACACTATGAAGGCCAAGTACAAGTGGCTTGTCTGGACTTTAGAAGGAATGAGATTGTCCTCCCCACTGACATATCCTTTTTGTTTTACGTGTAACATGGCTCTGTGTTCAATGCCCTCTCTTGTCTGAATGCCAACACCTGGAAGGTTCTCAATGAAGCTTGTTTAGAAAATTGTGTTTAACTGCTCTTTAGATGTTTTGGTGATTTTTTAAGTGTTCTGAGCCTGATAATGTACACTGTTCTTTAGCAGATCTCGTAGACAAGGGGGTCCAGCTCTTTCATGAGGGAGAGATGGTTTTCATAACCTCATACAGAATAAATTTATTTAGAAGGTGGTTTAGAGCAGCGGTGTAGCCTGGGCTTCTCTGGAGACATCCTGGCAAGTGATAAAGAAGAGGGAATTCTGGTAGCAGCCAGCTGGATAGTGGACTATATAAATAAGATCTAGTTCAAGATATATGTTGATCTGGCTTTGGGGGTCTGCTTTAGATTTAAAACCAAATCTCCAATTTTTTACTACCTAATTTTTGTTTCCAAAAGGAGTCCTGCAAAATGACTCTAATACCTTCCTGACATAAATGTAGCATCAGTGCTCACTTGGCTATGATCTCATAAAAGGGCCAAAGAACTGAGCCAGGGAATTTAAGAGCTAAAAAGGACCTTGGTGCCATCTCACAGTCCCATTTTACAGATCAGAAAACTGAGGCCCAAAGTGTTTAAGTGACAGAGTAGGTTGGTGGCAGAGCTGGCCTTAGAATCCAGGTGTCCCCACTGTTCATGGCCCATTCTGATCCTCATTGTCCTGATCCACCTCCCAACTCGACCTTGTCTCTTGGCAGATGCTTCTCTTCCAAACAAAGCAGGCTATCATTGTTATGCGATGGGTGTGATGGCTTCAGGAAGCCTGTCCATGCCAGGCAGTAGCCTGATAGCATATTCATCAGCAGCTGCAGTTGCAGGATGAAAAGGTTACATTGCTGAGAAACAGAAGGATTGCAAGTACAACTGTCCATAGAGTGCACTCCTTCTGAATTTGTTTAATCAGACTCTCCAAAGATTCAAATGTGTAACAGCGTTGTCTGAATGCTCATATCCCCAGGTGCCAGTTTGGCCTTCTATTTTCTGCAGCCTGCTGAGTGTGCTAAGACTTTTGGATTCATTTTTCTATTTTATGGAGATCATTTTATCTTAGAAATGTGTACCATTTCGGACTTAATTAACTATTCCCTGTTGTCTGACAAGATTTTTCCGATTGTGTCTCCTAATTCTTAGATGGAAGGGTTAAAAAATAATGTAAAAGAGCAAGATAAAAGAATTGAAAATCTGAAGGAAAAAATTAACATACTTGAAGCCCAGGTAAGGAGGGAATCTGTTGTACATATCAGTGTGTGACTGCATGTGTGTGTGCCTGCGTGAACGTGTCTGTGTGAGTCTTTGCGAGTGCGTGCAATGTGTCTATGTGAATGTGTGTGTGAATGAGTCTTATGTGTCTTTGTGTGTATGAATGTCTTTGTGTGAATGCATGTGTGTATGTAAATGTGTCTGTGTGTAAATATGACTTTGTGTGAGTGTGAGAGTGTGTGTGAATGTGTGGATGTGTCTGTGTGAGTGTGAATGTGTGGCTGTGTCTATGTGTGAGTGTGTGTGTGAATGTGTGGATATGTGTATGTGTGAATGTGTGTATGTATGAATGTGTCTATGTGTGAGTGGATGTGTGGATGTGTCTGTGTGTGAGTGGATGTGTGAACATGTCTATGTGTGAGTGGATGTGTCTATGTGTGAGTGTCTGTGACTGTGTGGATATGTGTATGTGTGAATGTGTGTGTGTGCGTGTGTCTGTAAGTGGGTGTGTCTATGTGTGAGTGGATGTGTCTGTGTGAGTGTGTGTGTGAATGAGTGGCTGTGTCTATGTGTGAGTGTGTATGTGTGAATGTGTGGCTGTGTCTTTGTTAGTGTGTGTGTGTGAATGTGTGGATATGTCTGTGTGTGAATGTGTAGATGTGTCTGTGTGTGTGTGAATGTGTGGATATGTCTATGTGTGAATGTGCGTGTGTGAATGTGTCTGTGTGTGAGTGGACATATGGATGTGTCTGTGTGAGTGGATGTGTGGATGTGTCTATATGTGAGTGTGTGTTTATGTGTGTGTGTGTGAATGCAGGTATACGGTAATGAACAGAACAGACTGTTCCTGACCTCGTCTAGCTTACCACACTTTAATTGAGGATTCAGACAATAAACAAATAAGTAAATCTACAGCTTCATTAGGGAGGTGGTAAGTGCTCTGAGAAAGAATGGAACAGTGGGAGGAGGTACAGAGTGATGCTCAGGGAAGGCATCTCTGAGCAGATGATATTTGACCAAGTGCTTGAATGTAGTGAGCTCTTGAGCCATCGTGATGCTATTTCTAGTCTATTCCTAGCAAATGCTTTATTATGAAGCTCTTAAGCTGGGAGAATATCTGCAGGGTTGTAACATCTTGCAGTGCAAATTTAAGACCACTGCCTATTTTGGAATTCATTAAATAATGGGGTAGAATGATTCCATTTATAAAAATAGTCACCATAACTTGAACAACCCTTTTAAATAGATCACCTTTCTAAACCATATAGACAGTATACTTTTGTTATCCATACTAAAAGCATTAATCTCTTATTAAGTGTGCTACATACTTCATTTTGTTTAATCCTCAAATCTTATCTGAGAGAATGTTATTATTTACTCCAATTTATAATTGGTAAAACCGAGATTCAGAGAAGTTAAGAAACATATTCAAAATCACTCAGCTAGCAGGTAGCAGAACCTGCATTTGAGTTGACTTAACTTTGAAAAACGTTTGTCCCCCACAATATCTACTTCTCTGGGGGTAGCACAAATAGTTTGCACACAACTACTAACCTGAAGATTGGCAATTTGAATCCACCCAGCAGCACCGTGGAAGAAAGTCCTGGCGATCTGCTTCCATAAAGATTACAGCCAAGAAAACCCAGTGGAGCAGTTTTACTTTGTCACATATGGGGTTGCCATGGCTTGGAATCAACTCAATGGCAGTGGCTATAATTTTGAATTTTTTTAGGTGATGTATAGGTGTGTGTATGAAATACACATACATATACATATTTAGATGTACGTATATATTTAGAAATGAATAGTTAATGACATTAAATTTGCATGATCAGTTACGTTTATTTTAGCCACTGTCACAGTTACCATATTAAAGTTTTTCTATTTTGTTTCTAGGAGTTTTTCGAGTCATGGAAACAAATATTCTTTTTTCCGTGATGTTCTTTTCATCCTAGCAGTTTTTTTTCTCCTCCGTGTGGGGGATAAAATTGGCTCATATAACTCCATCCTTTTGTTTTTGTTTTTAACCTTTTTTAAGTTTTTTAGACGTCTTTTAAATATCATCAGAAAATTTTTGCCTAACTCTACAAAAAGATTTATGTTTCTTTCCACTTCTGCATATTTTTCATCATCATAACTTACAGCTTCTCATGTTTATCTCCTATTTTCATGCATTTCTATCTTCTGCACTAATGATCTACTCATATGGAAGTGCATCTTCAGAAATCACTCCATTTTCTAAACCTTGAAGATTATCCTACTTTATATAATCACCGTCATCCTTAAAATTTAATTCCAAGAGTGTGTTGATAGATGAGTAAGCATGCAAAAATTAGGTTCTTTTGGTTAACTATGTCAATAAACCAAACTTGGATAAAGTCATCGTAATAGCAAACATATTCTGGCCAGTGATATGTAGTTTTGTAAACTAATATTTAATAAAACCCATGCATATTAAATTATTAAAATAACTGTAATACTTTCCTGACATAAATGTAGCATTTGTGCTTGCTTTAACTAGATTTTCTAGTTAAAGGAAAAATTAGAAAAGCTCATGAACCAAGAATGTTGTTGTTACGTGCTGTCGAGTCATAGCGACCTCATGTGACAGACTAGAACTGCCCCATAGGGTTTCCTAGGCTGTAATCTTTATGGGAGCAGATCACCAAGTCTTTTCTCCGTGGAGTGGCTGGTGGGTTTGTACCACTGATCTTTTGGGTAGCAGCTGAGTGCTTAACCATTGTGCCACCAGGACTCCCTGAACCAAGAATAAATACCCAAATTTGGCCGATGAACTAACGCTAGCAGAAAGTTCAAATAAATGAAAATCAAGCCAGTCTAACCTGATAACTCTTATGCTTTTGTATCTTCTGGTACTTGATAACTCGAGGATCTAGGGTTTATTTTGGAAAAAATCCAAACAGCTTCTAGGTAACTGTCCAGTCACAGAATATTTGTATTCCAGCGTTAGTTGGCATCACGGCATTGTGTTTCAAATTGCTTTATAACCTGGAAAGTGCTATACATAGTGTTTTCCTCAGCTACGTAACTGACCTATCTTATGTGCCTGCAATTTTTTTGGAGTGGTTTCTAGATTTATCTTTAATATACAAAGCACATCTTTATTATCAATTTACCAAATCTGAGAGACACTTCCTGGTCCTACTTGGCTACTTAAATTAACTTGTGAAATGATTAATGTGTCAGAAGACACTGACTCCATCTTTTAGTTATTATTCAATATAAATATATTCCAAGTTGCTGAGGGCTAAGATGGGACACAGTCCACTTCTTGACTCTGCTCTTGTTACTCCAGTGGTTCTTAATATTGGGTGCACGTTAGAATTATCTGTAGAATTTTGAAAGCTCCTGATGCCCAGACTGCAACCCAGTGAAACAGAATCTCTGGGGAGGAATCCAGGCATCAGGAAATTTTAAAGCTCCCAGGTAATAGCAATGTACAACCAAGACTGAAAACCACTACTTTAGTCCAGTGGTTCTCAGACGTGAGCAGGCATCCGAATGACCTGGTGAGCTTCTTAAAACACAGTGCACTGGGCTCTCTGGGTTTCTGACTCAGTAGGTCTGGGTTTGGGACTGAGGGTTTGTATTTCTAATAAGCCCCAGGTGATGCTGCTGCTGCTTCTGGTCCTGGAATCACACTTTAACCATTGCCTTGGCCTGTTTTTCCCCTTCTTTTCTACCTAGCCCATTCGGCCTTATCTTCAAGGTCCAGCTTAATGTGCTGCTCTATGAAAGGTCCTACGTTATTCCAGTCACACAGGTTTCTGTTCATACCTTTTATGTAGTGATAGATCACCCACTGCCTTAGGCATCGCTTGAATTGCTTATATTTTACTTTTTATTTTTAACATTCGCATGTTTGTTTTATCATCTTTACCATGTTGTGCATCCTGTACTGTGAAAGGGAAGATACCATGCTTTCTTGCCCATCTTCACATTCCCTCTGCCCTCCAGCTCTGTGCTGTGGACACAGAGGAACTCAACAATTGGATGCATGTGTGGGGGGCTGGATGGTTAGGTAGATTGGTGATTAGTTTCCTGACAGTTTTCTTTCTTCTGTTTCCTATTTATCGTACTCGGGATCCTGCAGAAATCGCCGAGTCTCTGTATCTCCTGGGGGTTCACCGTTTTCTTATTTGTAACATGAGGTTATTGTTGTTAGGTGCCGTGGGGTCAATATCGACTCATAGTGACCTTGTGTCACGGAGTAGAACTGCCCTTAGGGTTTTTTAAGACTGCGCTCTTTACGGGAGCAGATCTCCATGTCTTTCTCCCAAGAAGCCACTGGGTGGGTTCAAACTGCCAACCTTCGGTTAGCAACCAATCACTTAACCATTGCACCACCAGGGCTTCTTGTAACATGAGGAGGCTGGACTAATTTCTCTGGTCATGTAGAAAAGGAACATTTCACAGAGAAAAGAAGGTGGACTTTGAAGCCAGCAACAAACCAAAACCAAATCCATTGATGTTGAGTCGATTCTGACTCATATCAACCCTATAGAACAGAGTAGAACAGCCCTATAGGGTTCCCGAGAGCACCTGGTGGATTCGAACTGCCAACCTTTTGGTTAGCAGCTGTAGCTCTTAACCACTACACCACCAGGGTTTCCTGGAGCCAGAAGGGCCCCCATAAAGCCTGCGTGTTTGTACATCAGTGCTGCATATACTACCATAGGGTTATCAGAGGCTAGTTACCTTGTCAGTTATAGTTTTGCCTGCCTTTTTTCTTTAATGTGCATGGCAATAGAACTTAACCCAAACTGCTGACCTCCTATCAGAGGAAAGAAATGTGCATAAAGCACCTGGCACTCCAAAGTATTAACTCCCTCGCGTTCTATCAAAATTCCAATGCCTGTTTCCAAAATCCACCCATTTTGGTGTTGACTTACTCCAAACCATTAGGTAGAGTCTTAGAAAATACCTTTAAACTTTAATTATATGATTCCCTAAGTCCTTATTTTCGAAAAGGTAACGGAGCTGGTGCATTGCTGCTCTTTCAAAGCCAGAGCCTCGCCTGCCGTCTTGCCCCTCCTACCTCTCAGTCCCCAGCTCCTTCTGCACAGGCGTATCCTTTAAAGACCTCTGGTCTGGGTCACAGCTGAGCAGCCAACTGCCAGCTCAACCTTGGGCTTGATCCTTCACTGTTTTAAGCCTTACTTTCCAAATGTGAAAATGAAATCGCTTGGACTGGCCATGTTATAGAGAAAGTATTCACTCTGAGCTCTGAAGACCTGACTTAACTCTTATCTCTGCAGTGAATAAGATATTGAACACTTAACTTCTTTGGACCTTTATACCATTTTGGGTATAAAATAGTATTTGCACTAGAAAATCATAACCAACTGCCTTTAAGTCTTAAAATCTGTGCCAGGCACTAAGCTGGGTGCTTTACATATTTTTTTGTCATTTCAGAACCTGTGAAGTAGGCACTGTTATTACTTCTATTATACAGATGGGAAAATTCAGGCACAGAGAGGTTAAGTAACCTAAATGAGGTCACACAGCTAGTAAGTGGTTATGCCAGGATTCATACCTAATAACTTATATTCTAATGTTTCATGTTATTAGCCATTACATTATCTCCCAGAATTTTAAGATTGCTTCCAGATCTACAATATTATGATTTTATTTGTTCCTTCCAACAACATATACAAGATTGGCGGGGTGGATTATTTACCCCAAATATAGGGATGAAGATAAGGAGCCCTGGTGGCGCAAGCAGTTAAGCCCTCGGCTGCTAACTGATAAGTTAGCAGTTTGAACTCACCCAGTAGCTTCGCAGGAGAGAGAACTGCTTACATAAAGATTACAGACTAGGAAACCCTATGGAGCAGTTTTAGTTGTCACATGAGGTTGCTGTGAGCCACAAATGACTCCATGGTACCCAGCAACAGCAACAATGTAGGGATAAAGAACCTAAGGCTTCGATGGGAAAGTTCAGGCTAAGGTGAACTGTGTAGTAAAGAAGAGATGGTGCCTATATTGATGGGGCTTGTAACCATGAGACTGAGCAAGAAAGACAAATGTGTAATCAGTACCGTGGGTGTCATTAATAAAGTGCTTTGCATTTGTCAGTATAAAACCAAAAACCAAACCCGTTGCCATCAAGTCAATTCCAACTCATAGCGACCCTATAGGACAAAGTAGAACTGCCACATAGGGTTTCCAAGGAGCGGCTAGTGGCTATGAACTGCTGACTTTTTAGTTAGCAGCCGTAGCTCTTAACCACTGCACCACCAGGGCTCCGTCAATATAAAAGAAACTGTAAGACCAAACACAGTTTAGCTGTTGAATTTCAGAGGCTGAATCAGAATACCGAACTTTAATCCCTTAAATACAATCCCTGAAAGTTATGCATTTTTCAGAGTATCTGAAAAATTATCTTCACAGATAATATTTAGTGACTCTCAACAGGCTATTTTCTGTGTCCTGATAGTGTCTGCAACCACAGACTTATCACCGGGGAGTGATGCAGGTGATAGGTTGCATAGAACAATTGAGTGTGTGGCTAATAGATGCACTATCTGATCTCTTCAAAAAAAAATTTTTTTTTTTAATTTTAGAATAAAGAACTAAAAACCAAGGTGGCACTCTGGTCTGAAACTCCTAGGACAAAGGAGTCTAAGGCAGTCTCTACAAGGTAAGGTCTTTCTGCCTCCCCCAGCCCCATCTCCCTTCACCACCTCTGTTGTATATGTTGGACATTCATTCCATGTGAGAAAGAGTCCAGTCTGTTAATGTTTGTATCATGCAAGTGTAGTGACTAGCCCTAAATTACTTGTAAGGGGCTTGAACTTATTTCTGTTTTTATTTTATCAGAAGGATCCCATTTTCTGTGGGCAGTGAGTGGCAAGTATATGACAATGAAGAGTTTAGTTGAAAGAGTTAATTTTGTCCCCTCACCTGGATAATAAAAGAGTTGGACTCCAGATTTGTCCCGACTCTCATATTCTGTATTCTGTGGCTAACCTCCACACAGATGATGCAGGCTGTCAATGAAACGGACCTTTACCAGTGATGGGTAGCATTCACATTATTCTTAACTTCACTTTGACAGAGAGGGATTTTTCACTGTCTATTTTCAGTCAGTCAAAAGCTAAATTTATATACTTGGGTACAAACATGATTTAACTGTGATATCTCATACCTGAATACCAGTTTAATACTGATCATTTCAAAGTTTTAAAAGAAATCAACGTTTTAAAGGAGGCATAGCTTCTTTCCCTCAAAACTGAGTTTTCATTTTCGTTCCGGGTATCATCAGCTCACCACAAAACCAAAACCAAACCCACTGCCATTGAGTCAATTCCGACTCATAGTGACCCTATAGGACAGAGTAGAACTGCCCCGTAGGGTTTCCAAGGCTGTAAATCTTTATGGAAGCAGATTTTGACCTCTTTCTCCTGTGGAGAGGCTGGTGGGTTCAAACTTCCAACCTTTTGGTTAGCAGCTGAACACTTTAACCACTGTGCCACCATCAGCTCACAAACAAAAAACCAACCAAACAAACAAACTCATTGCTGTCAAGTCAATTCAGACTCATAGTGACCCTATAGAATAGAGTAGAACTGCCTTACAGGGTTTCCAAGGCTGTAATCTTTAAGGAAGCAGGCTGCCACATCTTTCTCCAGTGGAGCAGTTGGTGGTGGGTTGGAACTGCTGGCCTTTCAGTTAGCAGCCAAGCACTTTAACCACTGTGTCACCAGGACTCACCACAGTCATTTATTCAGCAATTATTCAATGAATGCCCCGTCTAGGCTTGTGCTGTAGTTGGTGCTGTGGATGTAATAGTAACATGAAGTGTGGCCCCTTGAATGCACAGGGCCAAAAACAAACAAACCTGTTGCCTTTGAGTCAGTTCTGACTCATAGCAACCCTATAGGAGAGAGTAGAACTGCCCCATAGGGCTTCCAAGCAGTGGCTAATGGATTTGAACTGCCCACCTTTTGGTTAGCAGCTGAGCTCTTTGGGATCCTCAAACCGCAGTGAGCATAAGAATCTTGGGGTGTGCTTGTTAAAAAGTGAATATTCCCAGTCCCCCACACCCAGAGAGTCTTACTCAGTAGGGCCATGGCAGGGTGCAAGAGTCTGCATTTTAACAACTGCCGTAGCTGGTTCAGCTGCGGGTTGTCTCTGGATTGCTCTTTGAAAACCCCTGGCTTAGAGTCAAAGGAGGACTCAGGTGCATAATCAAATACTAAATGATACAGTGTGGCAAGCACAGTGCAAAGTACCTTGAGAAAACAACAAGGAGGTGAAATTTCAGCTAAGTAAGTCTACAAATCTGAGAAGAAAATCCAATCACGTCATTGTTTGAGGTTCTTCACATGGCTTCCCAGGTACAAAACCCTGAAAGATCTAGCCCCTTCCGGCCTTTCTAGTGTCATGTCTTGACCGTGTCCATTTTGTTTACGTCCCTGTATCTATGCTTGCTTTTTTGTGCTGGGCATGTTCTCTTTGTCCACCCACATCTACTGTGTGCTTCTTCTCGCTATTTGCCCCATCTACATACAGGTTCTTGTGCTTTTGGGCTTCTAGTGGGTTTGACCATTGGGAAGTCCAGGTAGGAGATTTTAGGAAAGGGAGAGAGTGGGACTGGGGCATTCTTCCCCTGGTACCCTCTTTGTGGGGCTGTCTGCATCCCTTGGTAGTTGTCATAGCTCCTTTCAAGCACATTTTCTCTACAGGACTATCTTTGGGGTTCTAGAAACAGCTCTGTTCCCTCTCCTCACCTATTCAAGCCTTGGGATGCTGCACTATTCCTTGTGGTTTTTCTACTCTCTGTCCACGTCTTTGTAAATCATCTTTGGTATACCCTCCTAGAACCATCCTAATTGGAACATTCCCTCTGTTTCCTTCTGAGACACTGTCTTTCTGTTGCTTGATGGCACCGGGCTTCCCGGGAATGCACACCTCTAGTTATTCTCGCCTTTCCCTTATCCTCTACCCACCCCAACCTGGCTAACCTGAACGCATCCTTCTGATCTCAGCTCTTAAGTTTCGTGTCCTCAGAGTAGCCTTCCCTGCCCCTGGGAGTGCTTCTGTGTCCTCAGTTAATCACTCTTAAAGCTTCCAGTCTTCCAGTCTTGTAACACTTACCATAATTGTGATTAAATAATTACTCATATGACTATTTGTTTACTGTCTGTCTCCAAAAAAGGGAAGAAACTCTTTGAGGATAGGAAATGCTTTAGTCATGTTCGCTATTGACTCCTCAAAACCTGGCATATAAATATTTACTGATTAAATGAGTAAATATGTTTAGATACCTTTTTTTCCTCTCCTTTGCCTTAATTCAAGTCCAATCTCAACTTTAATGCTTTCTGCAAACATGGCAGATCATCTTATCTATTGTCCTTGTGCTTCTATTGCTCATGTTTTCTTTTCCATTGATGGGCATTTTAGTCATCAATTGTTTGTAATTATCTTAGTTTCCATGTCTGTATCTCTCAAAGCAGGGAGCGCTGGTGGCACAACAGTTAAGCACATGGCTGCTAACCGGAAGGCTGGCTGTTTGAAGCCACCAGCAGCTCTGTGGGAGAGAGACCTGGAGATCTGCTCCCATAAAGATTACAGCCTAGAAAAGCCTGTGGGGCAGTTCTACTCTGTCACATGGGGTCACTATGAGTCAGAATCGACTTGACAGCACCCAACAACAACCCAACATCTCTCAAATAAAATAGATTATAAATATCATGAGGGCAGGAATAGTACCTTGGATTTCTCTTTATTTCCTGCATTGCTAAGGATAAGTGTCTTTAAAAATTACCTAATAACGAATGAATTCAAGTAATGGTAATGACCTACCAAAGCAGTTGAAACAATCTAAGTCCTTTAAAAATGTTGACAGAACTTAAAGTGGCAAAATGTAAAACAGACTTCTGGGCTCAAATCTCATTTCCATAATACCCTGTGAAATTATTACTTAAAATAAAACATAGTTGTAATTACATGTATCATTTTTTAAATGATTAAAAACTTCCTGTTCTCACAGCTTTTGAATTCCCCAGTCTGGTCCCTGTAGGGAAGAATCCCATTTTCTGAATCTCTCCGGCATAGAGCCTGCAGTGGGAGCTCAGTCCCACTCTGGTTAGCATCTGTCTAGGAATTCAGACCAATTCATCTCCCTCTTTATGACTTCCTGCCACAGTGCCTAACTTTGCTAATGATGTATGTAATTAGAGACTAGGGATGAAACCATTAAGAATCAAGTCCTCTAAAATCTTTGGGCCTCCAGAAGCTGAGTTATCATCATTTTGGTCACTAGCCTGGCAACTTCTAAAAAAGGAACGAAATGAAGCTGCAGAGATATCCTAGGAGGGGGTGAAATGCCTACATTTCAGAGGCAGGGAGAGAAGTAGAGTCACTTCTGCGGGGGAAGAAGTGAAGGGTTTGGAATAGAGAACAAGACTGACTTCCCAAGGGAAAGTGGGATGCTAAGTTTTTTTTGCTCCCTTCCATCCAGACAAGGAGCCCTGGTGGTGCAGTGGGTAAAGCACTCAGCTGCTAACCAAAAGGTCAGTGGTTTGAACCTACCAGCTGCTCCGTAGGAGAAGGATGGGGCAGTCTCCTTCCATAAAAATTACATCCTTGGAAACCCTAGGGGGCAGATCTGCTCTGTCCTATAGGGTCACTATCAGTCAGAATAGACTCAACGGCAGTGGGTTGGGTCCACCCAGACACAGTCCCCTTCTGTGATGGTGAGGCATCATGGCCAGCCTCAGCTGCTTTGACCCTGGAGGGGATGGGGCCAGAGTAAGGTAGTCAAGGGAACAACTGATTTTCTCTACATTCTAACTACTCTAGTATTGAATTCTGAGACTCTGGTTGGTTCAGAGGATGGGTTGGAGAGAATGACTTCTATGGCTTATTCTTTAGCTGCAACTAATTAATAGTTAAAAGTCTACCGGGTTTAGAGACTTTTCTTCACCCTATGACTTGAGAAAAGTCAAAGGGAGAAATTTCCTAACTGAGGTTTGGAAACTGGATAGGATAAATATCCCCCTTATTATTATTTTTTTAATAGAAATTCTAGTGTTAATGATATCAAGGTAGCTCTCACATTTGTAATATGAAATGTGGCCAACTGGCTACTTTGAGAACGTAAGTGGTAGTATGGTTGGTAACTCCGGACTTACCAATACACAATGGAATTATAATACTAGTGAAGGATTAGAGCAGCTGTTAAGGCAAATAAAAATTATGTACACTTAAAAATTAAACTTGAAATATTTCTTCAATCACTCATAAAGTATAGTTTTCTCTGAATAGGTATAAAACGACTAGATTTTTTTTTTTTCTGCAGCATTGGAACATAGGTGTTTCTTGAGTCAAACACCAGAACAAGTGGTTTGCCTGAGATTAGACATATGTTGGTAAAACACACACACACATGTTGTTGTTGTTAGGTGTCATTGAGTCAGTTCCAACTCACAGCAACCCTGTGTACAACAGAACGAAACACTGCCCAGTCCTGCACCATCCTCACGATCATTGTTATGCTTGAGCCCATTGTAGCCACTGTGTCAATACATCTCGTTGAGAATCTTCCTCTTTTTCACTGACCCTCTACTTTACCAAGCATGGTGTCCTTCTCCAGGGACTGGTCCCTCCTAAGAACATGTCTGAAGTACGTGAGTTGAAGTCTCGCCATCCTTCCTTCTAAGGAACATTCTGGCCGTACTTCTTTCGAGACAGATTTGTTCATTCTTCTGGCAGTCCATGGTATATTCAATACACATATGTAGTTTTAAATACTAGAATCACACTCAGCGAGGAGAGCAGCTCAGGATTTGAGAAGCCCACAGGACTGAAGCATCCTGAGGAACAGACAGTGGATCTGTGGTTCGCATCTCCAGCTCACTCTGGTGCTGCCTTCACAGAGTAGAATGAGTCCCATGCTCTTACTCCTTCTTGTCTCTGTTCCTCACTCTTGTCCTATTACAACTAGTTGAATATGCACAAGTTAAATGCCTGTATGATGTGATGCAAGGAGTCCTGGTTGTGCAACAGTTAAGCAGTCAGCTACTACCTGAAAAATGGCCAGTTCAAACCCATCCAGCAGCTCTGTGGGAGAAAGACCTGGCAATCTGCTTTTGTAAAGATTACAGCCTAGGAAAACCTATGGGGAAGTTCTTCTCTGTCCTATAGGGTTGTGATGAGTCAGAATTGACTTGACAGCCCACAACTACGACAACAATGATGTGATGCTACTGTATCTCGTGGGGAATTGGTCAGAATCAATCTATTAACCGTAATCACTTAGATCAAACCAATTAGTTGAAACTTGGTAGGATGGTGGTAGTGGAAATGGTAATTGTGGCAGAAGAGCAATTATATCACTAAAGTTTAATGTGCTGTTGCTCAACTTGATAATTATGTGGTCTTTTCTACAGTGCATTGAAGACTGAAGGCACCTCCCCTTATTTAATGTTGATTAGACTACGGAAATGAACAGACTGGAGAAGATCTGATTGAAAAAGATCGTTGTGTAGTTCTTATTTATTCCTTGAAAAATAGTCCAAACTTGTGTGGTAAAAGGGCACACTGCCAGTATTTAAACAGGACTTGTCACAATGATATTAGCTTTTCAGGAACACAATATTCCAGAAAATCAAACAAATATATATTTGATGGGAGGAACTCTTTCTCCAAAACTTACTAAATGGGTGAAGAAATCAGGAGCTTTACCATGATGGAAGATGGATTCTGCTTTAAAAAAAAAAAATTTTTTTTTAACCTGAATCTTGTTTTTAGATATTTGCTGATGGGACTCATTTAAGGTTGTCAACGTTGACCTTTTGATAGTGATTTTTATGAGTATAGAAAGAAGAGGATATATGTGTATGAATAAATGGTGTTACATTAACGTTGGCCTTTGGATAGTAAGAAATATCTTACTATGACATAAGTTCATTTCTTGACCCATTTTTAGTGAGTTATTCTCTACTAAATTATGGGCAGGAGAGGGAGAAGATTCTGTTTAGCACATTCCCTACCACATACCACACTCCAAAGGTGAGAATCATGGCTAGCTCACCACACATCAGGCAGTGACTGATGCCATTGAGTCGGTTCCGACTCATAGCGACCCTGTGTACAACAGAACAAAACACTGCCCAGTCCTGTGCCATCCTCACAGTCGTTGCTGTGTTTGAGCCCATTGTTGCAGCCACTATGTCAATCCATCTGGCTGAGGGTCCTCCTCTTTTTCGCTGACCTTCTGCTTTACCAAGCATGACTGATCTTAATTGTGCTGAAGTTAAGAACTGGTCCAGACCGACAGCTCTAGGCCACCCACAGACATAAGCTCGCAAGGATGCACACGGTGTACTCTGCCTTTGTGACAAATTTTCTTATTAATGTTCATTAATATTAACTAAATAAAATATTTAGAGGGAAGAATGGCACATAATGGTGTTAACCCATGCTGCCATAAAAATGTATATATTATGGGTTCAAGCCAGGAAGAATCTGAATTCATGAGTTAGAATTATGTGTTTGGTGTTTTTGTGAAAGTGTGCTTAAATTTTCATGCATGCCTTCATTACATGTGGGGTTTATGATTGTTATGAGTATAAACAAACTCTAACTTGTAGAAATGCAAACATACTGTCCTCAGGAAAGCAGAACTTACTTCAGTTAAATGAATAATGAGGCCTTGGTCATCCTATCTGATGTATAACTCTACACATTTTCTCAGGAAAGATGCTTCAAGGCTTTCAATGTAGAATATGAAATATCAGTGTTGTTATCTATAAAATATGTGAAGGTATGTACTATTGAGATGGAGTAATGTATTTATAAATTCATCCAAGTACTGTAATCCTTAAAGTTGTTGCATAACTATTTATATGTGTGAGTTTCATGCTTCAGGTTGTCTTTGTTTTTATTGCCTGCTGATTTTTAAGGTATATATCCCTAATAATAACATTTCAAGCATACTTGCCCCATACTATGAACAATTCCAAGTATTTTTCCTGTAGTAAGTCCTTTAGTCTTCCAACAACCCTCACAAGCAGGTAATGTTATTATCCCCATTTTGTAATGAAAGATAATGAGAGTGGTCCAGTAATTTGCCTAACTGCTAATGATGGAGCAAGGATTTAAACTTTTTGACCTATTGATATCTATTCTACCTGCTTACTTGCTCTGAAGCATTTCTGCGTTATAGAAATGCCTCTCTTTTGGGGGGACCCTGTTAAAAGCTTAATCATCATGTAAGATTTTAATAACGATGTGATTTTGAGATTTTAGAATGAAGTCATCCAATTGACCTAACAATCTGATGATTTCTATTAGAGAAAAAAGTTTTGAAAGTCAGAACTGGAAAAATATTGTTGGATTTGCTTTTGATTTTGCTATATTTATTTTTGAACATGGAAGTCCAGTTGGGTCTAGTACAGATAGAACCTACTCATGAGGGCTCTGGGTTCACTATGGAATGGTCTATGGAACACCAGGGAATAAGAGTAAGTAGTTTCAGAAGCCTTAAAAGATCTGAACTTTTCAAGTATGAAAATATCTTCTATAATAGCATCAGCAGTATCATTTGTGTGTCATGTATTGATTATTTCCTATATTCTTATTGTTTCAGCTTTTATATTTTAAGATGTTTTTTTAAATAAAAGTTTCTAACGAAAAAGCGAAAGATTATAATGGGTAATGAAATGTATTAGTCTAAACGTAATTCTACACGGGTAACATAGGAAAAAAACACTAGTGCAATTATAGTTTAAATAATTGTACTTAAAATTATACTGATCAATATACTGGATAGGAAGGTCTGAGATGGGCCTTGGAGTTAATGCATGAAGGTGGGAAAATGAGAAGAAACTTAGTTTTACTTTGATTACACGTATTGTAACAAATTATCACTAAGAAATGCTTAGACTAAACAATTGCTATAATATCTTTTGAATAGTTGTTTGTAATATGCCGTACGAAAAAGAAAATTGGTTCATATTGTGTGAACTTTTTGTTTTGATTTCTTTTTACATTAAAATCATTATTTATGAATAAATTAAGTAGTTTTTATTTGATTGCTAGAAAAATCCCACATATTTCTAAATAATTCTTGGATCTAAAATGAAATCACAAGGGAAATTAGAAAATATTTTGGACTGAATGAGAATGAAAATACAACATATCAAAATTTGTGAAATACGGCTAAAGAAATACTTAGAGGGAAACTTATAGCTTTAAATGTTTATATTATGAATATGAAAAGCCTAGAAATCAAAGTTCCATCTTGGAAAGCTGGAGGAGGGGGGAGAAAAAAAGCAAATCCAAGAAACCAGAAGGAAAGAAATAATAAAGAGCAGAAATGAACAAAACATAAGATGGACAGTAGCCAAAGCCCACTGCTGTCAAGTCATTTCCAACTCATAGCAACCCTCTAGGACAGAGTAGAACTGCCCCCTGGGGTTTCTAAGGCCGTGATCTTTACAGAGGCAGACTGCCACAGAACCACTGACCTTCTGGTTAGCAGCTGAGCACATTCACCACTGTGCCACCGGGTCCTCTCAAAACAGACAATAGAGAAAATTAATAAAGCTAAAAGATTATACTTAAAAAAAAACAACAACAAAATTTATAAATGTCTACCTATATTGGCCAAGAAAAGAGAGAAAATATAAATCACCATGCTAAAAGCAAAAATGGTTACCACTAGAAAGCCTACAGGCATTGAAAGGACACTATGAACAACTACGTGCCAAGAGGCTCCCTGATGGTGCAGTGGTTAAACATGACGGCTGCTAACCAAAAGGTTGGCAGTTTGAATCTAGCAGCTGCTCCTTGGAAACCCTACCCTGTGGGGCAGTTCTGCTCTGTCCTATAGGGTTGCTATGAGTCTTGATGTCAACGGGTGTGGTTTTTTTTTAATGTGACAAGAGATATGGGAACTTAGATGAAAAGGATAAATTTCTTGAAAAATACAACTTAGCAAAATCAACACAAGAAGAAACAGGAAATCTGAATAGCTATGTTTATTAATGTATTTTAATTTATTATAAAAAATTTTCCCACCAAGAAAACTACAGCCCTAGAATTCATTGGTGATGATATTAACATTCGGAAAAGCAATAACAAATATCTTACACATTTTTTCAGAAATTAAAGAGGACAGAACAGTGCTCATCTTATTTTATGCGACCAGCATAACCCTAATAACAAAACTTGTCGAAGACATTTAAAAACACACACACACATACACACAGTAATATCCGTCATGAGCATAGGCACAAATTTCCTTGACAAAATATTAGCAAACTGAATCCAACAATATAGTTAAAGGCTCTATTGCGACATCATGACAAGATGAGATTTATCCACGGTGTGCAAGATTCGTTTATCATTTGAAAAATCAATCAATGTAATGTATCATATACAAAGAAAAAATGAGAAAAATTACATGATTATTTTAATAAATGAAGAAAAATTCAACACCTATTCATGATAAAAACTCTCAGCAAACTAGGAGTAGTAGGGAAATTCATCATTCTGATTAAAAGCATTTATGAAAAGCCTTCAGTTAGCCACTTCACTAACTAGTAGTGACAGGCTACTGCTTCTACCCCTAAGATTGTGAACACGGCCAGAATGCCTGCTTTAACCACTTTTTTTTTAAACATTGTATTGCAGATTCCAGTCATTGGAATATGGCAAGAAAAAAGGAAAAAAAAAGTCCATACAGTTTGGAAGGGAAAAATTAAAACTGCCTATTTGTTCCAGTTCATATGTTTTTTGAGGTAGAAATCTCCAATGAATGTACAAAACAACCACTAGAACTAATAGGCAAATTTAACAAGATCACAGATTAAAAGTTTAAAATGCAAAATATACCAGCAGTTTGATATTGGCAAAAGGATAGATATATCAATGGCCAGAAAAGAGAACTCATAAATAGATCCATAAATACGTGGTTAATTGATTTTTGACAAAGAATGTCAAGGCACTCCAATGGAGCAAGGAAAATGTTCTCAGTGGTACTGGAAATACTGAATATCTGTAAAATGAACATTGATTTATTGTATAAAATATATAATAATTAACCCAAAATGGACACTATACCTAAAATATAAAGCTAAAGCTGTAAAATTTATAGGAAAAAAACACAGTAGATTATCTTCACAACATTATGGTAGGCAAAGAATCTCAAATAGTACATGAAAAAATGCAAACTATAAAAAAAATAGACTGGACTTCATTATAATTTAAAACCTTTTCTCTTTAAAAGACACCCTTAAAAAAATGAAAAAACAAGCCACAGAATGGGAGTCAATATTCACAACATATATAGGATTTGTATTTGGAAAATGAAGGAGCCCTGGTGGCACAGTGGTTAAGAGCTCAGCGGCTATCTAAAAAGTTGGTAGTTGAATACACAAGCCACTCCATGGGAGAAAGATGTGGCAGTCTCTTCTCAAAGATTACAGCCTTGGAAACCCTATGGGGCAGTTCTAGTCTGTCCTATCGGTTTGCTGTGAGTCAGAATCAACTTGACAGCAAAGGGTTTGGTCTGGATCC